TTCCAGTAAAGAAACGAGAGCATTTCATAGGTCTAAACGCTCAGAGTGGATTACAGAGAGATCAGACGTTGGAGCTGAACCCCTGCCGCAGTAAGACTGCCATCTGCAGGAGACAGAAAGGCTGTGTCTGCATTTAGGGGATCTTTTTAGTGGAGTTAAAACAAAAAGGAGGAACTAAACTCACATTATAATACTGAAGATTTACTAGTTCACTTTATTTAGCCTTTTATTCTTTAATTTAGGGTCTAATTTTCTTTTCTGCTTGAACGTTTAGATGCAGACGTTTTGGCAGCTGGAACTAGGGGGTCACTTATTTCCAAGTGAGCAGAACACACACGGAAAAAAATGAATCGTATGTGTATATGTGTAAACACACACACACACACACACACATTATATAATATATGTTTTATATACATATATACATATATATATATATATATATATATATATATATATATACACACACACACACACTTTTTTGCATGTCTGCATGTTTTACTAACTCCCGTGTGACCAAGGTTACTTAAGCATTTGCATAATTATATATTCATAAACTCTCCATGCATACAGATTTTAATAATTGTAACAGTAAAAGTAATAGGTTGGGTGTTAAAACCAACTTCTTGCAACTTTAAATTCTGAATTCTGGAATCGAATCAGAATATTCTTTATTCTATTTATTGTATTTTTATTTAATTTGTCCTCCAGAGAAATATTTGTTAAGTGTGTGCTTGTCTGGTCTGTTCAGTGTACATTACAGTCATACATGTTACATGTCATAAATGTGTGAACTTACTAAGGCAAATTCCTGACATGTGAAACAAACTTGGTGAAGTAAAGCGATTCTGATTCAGTGTTAAAACCGATTAGTTGCTATTTTTTTCTTTTAGTATTAAAACTGATCTCTTGCGATTTTTCCTTGGTATTAAAAAGGTTTATTTTGATTTTCTAACCTTTGGTATTAAAACTGATTTCTTGCAATTTTCCCTTAGTATTAAAAAAGGTTTACTTTACTTTTTTATCTCCAGTATTAAAACTTTAAACTATTTTTGCTATTTTACACCCAGTATTAAAACCGATTTCTTGCCACTTTTATCTTTAGCATTAAAACTGATCCTTTGCAAATTTCCTTTAGGATTAAAAAAGGGTTACTTTACCTTTTGACCTCTAATGTTAAAATTGATTTCTTGCTACTTAGGCTTCAGTATTAAAAGCTATTTTTTCTGAAATATTAAAACTGATCTCCTACAATTTTCTCTAGATATTAAGAAACTTTATTTTTAAACTTTGTTTAACTTTTTTACCTTTATTAAAACTCATTTCTTGCTGGTTTATCTTTAGTATTAAAATCAACTTCTTGTAAGTTTACCTTCAGCATTAAAACTGATTTAAACTAGTTTCGTGCGACTTTACTTTCAATATTAAAACTGATTTCTTGCTGCTTTATGTTCAGAATTAAAAGGTGATTTCACGGTGTTTTACTTCCAGCACTAAAACTCTGACCTCCAACCTCCGATTTTAGTAGGAAACCATGGTGGAAAGAAGAGGAGGAAGATGGAAAACGTGGTCTCGGTGACCCCTGGTGTTTTTAAGAACGGGTCAAACAAATAAAAGTGGACTGAACTGGATTAGACTTGAGAGCGTAGCAGGAAAATCCTGACGGACACTCGGCGAGAAGGTCACGCCACACGTATCCACACTACTTCATCTTCCAGAGCGGCTTACAGAGGAGCTTAATGAACTCTCCTGCTTCATTTCCTCCTGTTACTGAATCTAACGTGCAATATTAAACGCCCCCATTAAAGCGGCCCGCATGGCGCTGTAACGTGGAGATGAGAGCAGGTAGTTCGGAGGCACGAACCAGCGCAGGGTCCGGCCGGGTAATTTGACGTGTACTTAAAAAAGGAAAACCTCAAATCTGCCTTTTATGGGGTTCTGTGGCTCCAGAGTTGACCTTCTCCGAGATCCGCAGGAGGGCTTTCATATGAGCTGCACGTCTACGACCGTTTCCTTTCTTCACACACACACACTTGCGGTGGACGTGTAGGTCAACATAAAGCAGTGCTGCCCTCGCTTCCGCGTTTATGGACGATCAGTAGCCAGAAACAGCCGCGGCCGAAATGAAAGGTTATAAAGCGGCCCGCTGGCTTCTCTCCGCCGTCCCCCCAGAACAAATTAGCCCTGCCCTCGTAAACTACAGTAGCAACTAATCTTTATGTAAGTTTGCCAAAACGGACACAAACCAGGAGCCACTTCAAACCGGAGGGAGGAGGGGACTTAACACGCTCTCCTTTCTTCCTTTTCAGATTCGGTTTTCTCGCCGGTCTCCTCTGAGCGCCAGCTTTTTGAAGCTCGGAGTAATTTATGATATGAGGAAGTTCGCCGAGTTGTAGATGGTTTTTTTTGGCTTTTGAAGTTTTATATTTCTGGGAGGGTGGGGTGGGGGGGGGTGTTTGAGGTGCCCCTAATAACAATATGAGGCCAAAAAGACAGAAAGAGGCTATGAGTGTTTATTGGTATACACTGCAGGCCAAAAGGGTGGAAGACTGTTTTTTACTGTCAACAAAATAACACACTTATTTTACCCAAAGCAGTCAGTGCCAGATTATTCCACTGGTCTTTTTAAAGCGTAATCTATTCCTCCCCTTAAGTACAATTCTGATGGGATCAGTGTTGCATGGAGAGGTGAAGTAACGTAATTATTGTCTGTGTTTCTCAGAAATTTTAGTCCTGTCCACCCTGTAATAATCCAAAGATATAAAACGAACTGTAGGAATAATCCCAGGTCATATTAATCCCATGCTATAAAGCAACTGTAGAAATAATCCCAGGTTATTTGATCCCATGCTATAAAGCAACTGTAGAAATAATCCCAGGTTATTTGATCCCATGCTATAAAGCAACTGTAGAAATAATCCCAGGTTATTTTAATCCCAAACCATAAAGCAACCGTAGAAATAATCCCAGGTTATACTAATCCTGTGTTATAAAAAGAACAATAGGAATAATCCCAGGTTATAATAATCCCATGCTATAAAGCAACCGCAGAAATAATCCCAGGTTATTTTAATCCCAAGCCATAAAGCAACTGTAGAAATAATCCCAGGTTATTTAATCTCATGCTATTAAGCAACCGTAGAAATAATCCCAGGTTATACTAACCCTGTGCTACAAAAAGAACTACAGGAATAATCCCAGGTTACAATAATCCCATGCTATTAAGCAACCATAGAAATAATCCCAGGTTATGTTAATGCCATGCTATAAAGCAACCATAGAAATAATCCAAGGTTATATTAATCCCATGTTATAAAGCAACAACAGTAATAATCTCTGGTTACATGAATCTGCCTGTGCCTGTGCAGCAATCAACCAACCAAGTCATATAGATTATAGTAACCCATGTGGTTTATGGATTACCATAACCTATATCACAGGTTATAATAATCTATGTGCTATAAACCAAACCATAGAAATAATCCCAGATTACATTAATCCCATGCTGTAAAACAAACCATAAAATTAACCCCAGTTGATATTAATCCCATACTATACTAACACTCTTGATGTAAAACATCTGACTGAGCTGATGAACCTTCGGGAGCATCTGAGTGGAGGAATCAGGTGAAGCTGATCAGAGCTGCAGTAAAACTCTGTAGGAGAATCAGCAGCAGCTCAACTGATTCGCACTCACTGCTTTGTTCTCACTGCAGGGCAGAGTGGATTCGTTTCTTTAACCTGATATAAATTACAAAGCACAAGTGACCAAATCTGATTTATATGATGAGACTGTAGTCACATTTGGTTGCATATCCACATGGTTGTGTGTGTATGTTGACTGCAGCTGACACAAAATGTGACTTTTCTCTTGGAAAAATCAATTTTTTATTTATTTATTTTAAATAAAGAAGGTTCGAATGATGCACTTCTTTCGCGTACTAAAGTAAAAGGGTTACAGCTTCACTCCAGACATGTTCCAGGCCTTTGTAACAGACTTGCTGTGGATTCGTCGCTATGTTGATGTGCAGTCTACAGTAATTCGACCTGTTTTAATGATGAATACTCGTGCAGGCTCTCCTTTCCCTAGCTGAGTGAAATCAAGAGCAAGTAAAATGAAAAAACTTTTGTATTGATTCTATTTAACAATGTCAAAGTAAACACATTATTCATTAACCTGTGATAGATACGATATATATGCTCAATATACATCATACATATGACATATGATATCTACACTCACTGACTGTATACATGATATTTATGATATCTACACTCATTATATTAATCCCATTGACTACATAGCAAGTGCAGAAATAAACCCAGGTTATATTAATTGCATTGACTATATATGATATATACATGTTCATTGTCTGTATATATGATATATATGCTCATTTGCTGTATAAATGATGTGCATATATATATATATATATATATATATATATATATATATATATATATATATATATGCATAGATGCTCATTGACTGTATGTATGATATGTTACTGACGGTATGTGATATATGACATACACACTCTTTGCCTGCATATACGATATATGATGACATGTACACTCCTTGGCTGTATATATGATATATATGCTTATTGAGTGTATATAAGATATATATGTAACTGTATGATATATATGTATATATATGATACATATACACTCATTATATACATGACATATGATATCTATACTCACTGGAACATGAGGACACTGTTGCTCTTACAAAATGTCGGTGATAAAAACTCAAAACTGCGTTCACAAAATGAAAACAATGTTAAAAGTAATAAATTCTGATGAAGCTTATTTTGTCCCCCTATACAGCTACAGAATGTACAGCTTTTTAAATGGAGTACATCTTTCTTTAGGCTCAATCAAAATGGATTTATTTATTTATTTGGGCAAATAAGACACACAATAAAGCCATTAATCGCGATTCGTCATTTTAATTAATGGACAACCTAACCGGTCTACTGTAAATGCATCCATACCTTTTTGGAGCCAGCAAAGCCCTCAGACTCCAGGAAGAAATAAGCGAAAGGCATGAGCACGAAGAGACAGAGGTTGGAGAAGAGAGACACCAGGTTCCACAGCCCTGAGGAAGGAAAGAATACAAAACGGTCAATACATCACACAGCGCTGTGAAAAAGCCTTAGGCCACCTCAGAAAACGGCACATGCAAAGCTATTTATCAGGATGCTGACGTTTATTTGTTCAAGAAATAAGCTAACATGAGAAGCAGGGCTGCACAATAAATCTTATTTTTATGATTATCGAGAAATGAGTTTCTGCAATAAACACATCGTCTGTGTTTACATGCAGCGAGTCTCTCCAATCCAATCCGCATTCATTCTGATTACAGATGAAGACTGAGGTGTTTATTTTCACTCTACTCAACAATCTGATGAAAATCTTCGTTTACATGTTCACTACAGGTAATTAGATCAAAAACTACGCACATACGCAGAGAACCACTTAGTTACCATGACAACCAGCATCACATGAGTCCACTCAGAGTGAGATGAGCAGCAGTGAGCAGTGCTTGTGCTTTTCATCACTTTAAAATGATGTCAGACTCAGGAAAACGTCCTTCACACGTCCTTATTAAAGAAGGCCGAGAGGAAGACTCGCTTGGACGTATTCTATTCCGATTGATCTATTAGTCGGATTATTAATTATCAGGCTGCATGTAAACGTGTCTACTGTTAAGAGCTGTGATGCCAGAACAGATTGGATTGCCTTAAACATGCAGCACCAGAGAAACGTCATTACATTAATGCCATAAACCATGAAGCCTAAGGAGTGGTGCTGGGATTGAGCCATACTTTCTCATGTGATATGCGAGATATAATATATATGCTCATGGAGTATATATATGATATATACCATATATACACTCTCTGCCTCAATATATGTAATATATAAGATATATATGCCCATTGGCTGTATGTGTACACATGATACATACGCTCATTGACTGTATATGTGATTATATATACACACATAAATATATATGACATTCACTCCTTGGCTGTAAATATATGATTCATATGCTCATTGAGTGTATATATGATATATACAATATTTACACTCATTAACTGTACATATAATATATACACTCCATTATTTACAAGCCCAGAATTTACACTTACCATCCAATACCAAGTTTATCTAATCAATCCTGAATAAATTAAATCAGGTGCTGCTGATGGAACTGAACAAATCCATGCGATGGCTGGAAAGCAGCGAAAAGTCATAGCTTTTCATATACTGAAAACAACATATCACTACTGTATTTATGTTTGCTTGTGTTTATTCTAATGTTATATAGTGTTGTTTTACTAGCAAAATCACACTTACAGCCCAGATAAACAGACCTTTCCACAAAAATGTACATCAAACCATTTCTCTATATGTCAAATAAGACAGGACAGATATTCTTCACCAGTCTAAATTACAGCAGGGATTAATTCATAATCCATACGGTCAGAAATAGAGTTTAATCACGGTTCATTAAGAGAATGACCACAAGGCTTACTCATCCTGCTGTTATTACAAATAATAATAATAATAAGAAGAAGAATAATGGAAGCTGAAGTGAATAATTTGAGTTTTTTTTTTTAAACCTGCTCCATTAGCAGCACAAATGTTACACTCTGATGCCCTCTGGTGGCCATGGATGAAACTGACCATTAAATAAAATTGAATTCAATGCAAAAAAAAAACATTAATACAATCAGTAGTGATTTAAACCTTTCCTCAAGGCAGCTGGGTATTAATTGTGGTTATCCAACACTTTGGCTAATACTTATTAAATTAAATCAGGTGCTGCTGGAATTTAACAAATCCACAGAATGGCTGGAATGCAGCAAGAAACAAGGAACCAAACCTGTGTTCTTCTAAACAGCTCACAAGTTTAACGAAAACTCGTTACGTTTTACTGTATTTATGCTTATTTGTCTCTATTATAATGTTTAAAAGGTGTTTTTTCAAGTGAAAAACACACTTACTGCCCAGATTTCACAGCCCATACTGTAGTCATTTCAGTGCAATTATTTATATAATCTGTTATTTGGCCAAGATTTTTCATTCTGGTGCATCACTACTTCAGGTTATCCTGCTCTATTGGTCAGTGCTTTTCTAGTGAGATTATATACCAACCTAACTTCATTAAATACACCTATTTGAATCTACACTGATTGTCCATGTTATCAGCTCCACTGACCGTATAGTTTCACTCTGTAGTTCTACAGTTACAGACTGTAGTCCATCTGTTTCTCTAAATACTTTGTTAACCTGTTCTTCAGTGGTCAGGACCCCCATGGACCCTCACAGAGCAGGTACTATTTGGGTGGTGGATCATTCTCAGTACTGCAGTGACACTGACATGGTGGTGGTGTGTTAGTGTGTGTTGTGCTGGTCTGAGTGGATCAGACACAGCAGTGCTGCTGGAGTTTTTAAACACCTCAGTGTCACTGCTGGACTGAGAGTAGTCCACCAACCAAAAACCTCCAGCTAACAGCGTCCTGTGGGCAGCGTCCTGTGACCACTGATGAAGGACTAGAGGATGACCAACACAAACTGTGCAGCAGCAGATGAGCTATCGTCTCTGACTTTACATCTATAAGGTGGACTGACAAGGTAGGAGTGTCTAATAGAGTGGACAGTGAGTGGACACAGTGTTTAAAAACTCCAGCTGCGCTGCTGTGTCTGATCCACTCGCACCAGCACAACACACACTAACACACCACCACCACGTCAGTGTTACTGCAGTGCTGAGGATGATCCACCACCCAAATAGTACCTGCTCTGTGAGGGTCCATGGGGGTCCTGACCACTGAAGAACAGGGTAACAAAGTATCAGAGAAACAGATGGACTACAGTCTGTAACTGTAGAACTACAGAGTGAAACTATACGGTCAGTGGAGCTGATAAAATGGACAATGAGTGCAGAAACAAGGAGGTGGACATAATGAAGTGGCCAGTTGGTGTACAAGCTGCATGTGCACAACTGAACAGCAGCAATATCCAAAAACTACAAGCCGTCCTGCACTCGGAAACAAGTAAAACACAAACGACCCGGGTTGACGTGCTTTTTATGCAGCAGAAGTGCAATCAGATCTCAACTGGACACACCAGAGAGGCATTTTAGTGAAAGGTGTAATTGAAATCTGGCCAAAGTTTACCCAGAAACAAAACACAGGTTCGTGCGAGGTGCAAACAGGCTCACACTGTATATAAAACACAGCTATTTAAATATTTATTTATAACTGAGTAATGTGTAATTTATCTGACTGAGCGCATGCTGAACACCGAGGTTAAACAGAGTCTGATCCTGAATGAAAGGTCGACCACTTTGAGAATGTAAGCACTTCTTACTTCTGTAAGAAGCTTCTCCTGCCCTAATAGGGACGACGATCCAGGGCTGATACTGACCGTGGATGAGGGATCCATTGAGCCACTGAATGTAGTAGTTCTTTGGAAGGGAGAGGAGGATCTCATTACTGATTATAGAGAAGGGAAGGAGGAGGACGGCCCCTCCGGACACCGCCAGCGTAAACGTACACAGGTACATACTGCAAAACAGAGAGAGAACAACAGTCGTATCACAGACAGATTACACGCTTTATGACTTTTGGTTTAAATAGACAGTTTAGCTGAAAATTTACTTCTGCTTCCTCTCACTGGCCACTTTATTAGAAACACACACCTTCTGCTTCCCCTCACTGGCCACTTTATTAGAAACACCCACCTTCTGCTTCCCCTCACTGGCCACTTTATTAGAAACACCCACCTTGTGCTTCCCACTAACTGGCCACTTTATTAGAAACATCTACCTTGTGCTTCCACTAACTGGCCACTTTATTAGAAACACCCACCCTGTGCTTCCACTAACTGGCCACTTTATTAGAAACACCTTGTGCTTCCCACTAACTGGCCGCTTTATTTGAAACACCTACCTTGTGTCTCCACTCACTGGCCACTTTATTAGAAACACAAGCCTTGTGTTTCTGCTATTTGGCCACTTTATTAGAAACACTCACTGGCCACTTCAGGCTACAGGGGAGGGGTTTCTGATGAAGCGGCCAATCACACTTCCATGTCAGCGTCACTGCTGTGCTGAGAACAATCTACCGCCCTAACAATATCTGGTCAGCAGTGGCCCTATGGAGGTCCTTTCCACTGATAGATGGAGTAAATGGGGCATTAATAAATAGTACATTAAAAGATGGTGCTTATACACCAATATAGTTAACCAGTGAGGTAGGTGTTAAAACGGCCCGCGAATATTTCTATTAGAGATTATTACGTGATGTCAGAGACCACATAAGCAAGTGTATGAGATCACTTAAGAACTTGAGACAAGCCTGTTATGATTTATGCAGGCAGTTAGCATGCGGCTAAATTGTGGACATAGGCTTTCATCATCTGTGAGCAACATTAGCCTTGTAGCTCCAGTGCTGAAACTTAAGAAGCTAACTTTAGACACCAAATACATCTTAGCTGAGCAACTACGTTTGGGGTCAGAAGGACTTTTCACTGAACTTTCGCTTTAAAGTCGGTGCATTTGTGTATTATTAAACAACAACTGTACATACACACAATCAAAAACAGGGTACATTAAACAACTCACGATATTCTGTTGACGATGGCATCTTCATCTTCATGGTCATCTGTTAACAGGAAACACTGACATCAATAAGTGACCTACACCTCTGTGAAAATGACTATGAAAGAGGTAACAACAGCAAAAACCTGAGTTTTTCCAATCTGATTGAAGCCACGTTTAAATGTGGTTTCAAATTCAAATCAAATTAGTTTTCAGGATGTGAGGAAATCTGACAAGTCCCTCGAGCGGCACAACCATCTGAGCACTGGCCCTGTCATCAGGAGATCGTGGTGATGCTACAGCCATCCGTGGCATTCTAAATAGAACCAATGTCTTTACTAAAGAACCCTTAAAGAACCGTCTTTTTAAATTATGCACAGAACCCTCACTGGCCATGTGCCATCTTACATCACACCCACACTCTCTGTAAATAATGGTAATTATCAGACTCGCTCCAGTGACTGGATCACCAGATCACCACTGAGAGCTTTTACTGAACTGGGAGAATCTGCGTTTAGCTGCAGAGCAGTTATCGTTATTATTATTTTTTGGTGTTTGATATTTATATCATTTTAATATTTGTCATCATTACTGTCTTAGTTTTGTTTTTGATTTTGGCATTTTTCTTCTTACCTTACTTAGTTGCTTTATTATTTATTTTTATTTTTAATCTTATCTTAAAGTTTGTTAATTGTTTATTTGTCTTATTTACTATTTTAATCATTTTTTTTATTGGTGTCATTCATTTGGTATTGTTATAATTATTGTTTTGAATTTTATAATTTTTTTCCTACTATTCCTACTTAGTTGTTTATTTATGTATTTATTTTTAATAATGATCTGCTTAATAGTTTAAATTGATTGTTCTGATTTGTTAATCTTAACTGTATTAAAGTCTCTTAATTTTTTATTTGTCTTAAAAGCAGCTTTAATAGTTTTTTTGGTCTTATTTTATTTTCTTGGCTATAATCTTACCATCATGAATTAATGTTTACTCTTTTTAATCTATTGTTTTATTGCACAATGCTCAGCTACAAGAGAGTCACCCTCAATGTACTCAGAGTTCAGACTGATTGACTGATTGATTGAAACATCTACATACGACTGTATGTTTGTACTGTACTGTCCGCTGTCCACCCCATTAAAACAGATAACGGACAGCGCACCATGACTTTGTTCAGGAGAAAGAGAAACAGGCTGATTTGCTCACCACTCTTCCTCTTGTAGCGCGTGATGATGCAGTAAGACACGATGTACAGCACCGCGAACAGAAGGAAACAGATCTGAGAAAGGAAAGAAAACAGAAAACAATTAGAAGAATCTTCACAGATGTGCATTCAATGCAACGTCATCACACTCTCTACACCAGCATCAGACACCCCTCACTTACAGATCCACCTTACTGGACTACAGCTAGAGACTGTAACCCATGTTAGCCGTCGTCCTTCGTCAATTATCAGCTTCTGACCACAGAGCCACTGTTGTCTGGCAAGGCAGGTGTTTCTAATAAAGTGACCAGTGAGTGGAAGCGCAAGGTGGATGTTCCTAATAAAGTGGCCAGTCAGTGGAAGCACAAGGTGGGTGTTTCTAATAAAGTGGCCAGTCAGTGGAAGCACAAGGCGGGGGTTTCTGATAAAGTGGCCAGTGAGTGGAAGCACAAGGCGGGTGTTTCTAATAAAGTGGCCAGCGAGTGGAAGCGCAAGGTGGGTGTTTCTAATAAAGTGGCCAGTGAGTGGAAGCACAAGGTGGCTGTTTCTAATAAAGTGGCCAGTGAGTGGAAGCACAAGGTGGGTGTTTCTAATAAAGTGGCCAGTGAGTGGAAGCACAAGGCGGGGGTTTCTGATAAAGTGGCCAGTGAGTGGAAGCACAAGGCGGGTGTTTCTAATAAAGTGGCCAGCGAGTGGAAGCACAAGGTGGGTGTTTCTAATAAAGTGGCCAGTGAGAGGAACGACAAGGTAGGTGTTTCTAATAAACTGGCCAGTGAGAGGAACGACAAGGTAGGTGTTTCTAATAAAGTGGTCAGTTTCAGTCAAAATAATGCCTGTTCAATAAAAACTGTGTCACATTATTGATCCACCAATGGAATTTATTGCAAGACAATAACAGCTGTACTGTACATACGTATTAGCTTAACTGGAATCAATCTTCAACTGATGTATTAACAAAAAAAATTAGGGCAAGACAGAAGGTCTTCAAATCTCACTGATCTGTGTTCCATCCTACCAACATGCTCTCACATAACACAGCCATGTTCTCGACGCTCTGCCTTGGCCTATTTTGAGGGGGCAGTTTTGATGGATGAATGTATCTGGACACCTGTCAGGGAGGTACTTTTACACCTAGCACAGCTAAGCCTTCCAGGCTGCGTGTCGGCGGACGGCGCAGTCTCTCGGCGGTGTGGGCCCAATAAGGCGAGGCAAACTAGCATTACCAGATTGTTTACTGAAAGCAGCTGAGCAGGCCATTCATCATATGGGCGTACCACTCATTCACTAAAGCAGCAGTTGCAGATTAAGGATGGTGCTAAAGCAGGTGGGCGTTTTCACCTGTTATAAAAAGCTTCCAAGAAACGTGATCTGAAACAAGCCGACTACACAATATCAGCATTCTCACAGCTTAGGCTGCGAGGGCCAGCTGATTCTGAGCGCTTTTCCACTGCCACGTCCAAGCTTCAGTGACGTGGCCGTGTTCCTGTGCCAGGTTTTTGTATGTGCCAAAACTCCTGACCCTTCCACAGTCCATGATCCTCACCTGGCTAAAACGCGTGGTTAGGGCTGCTGCAGTGGCACCACTGGCACCACCAGCATCTTGGCTGTAAGTGAGTTTTGGCCCTTAACATTAAAATAAATACAAATAAATATAAATACTAGTGACGTCACGATATGCGTAAGGTTTAATGAACGGATAATCAGTTAACTGAGAAAGCAAAACAATGCAAAAACGAACTTTTCCCAAACGTTAATGACATGAAACCTGTATGTTTTAAGGCGACAGCACTGGTGTTGCACAAAAAATGAGCGCTATGCAGAAAAGCACATTCAAAAATATGTTTTAATGTTCAAAAATAGGTCGGATTTTCTTGCCGAATGACTAATCGAGGGTTCCTCAGACGAGCTAATGAGCTAACGCTGGATGCTGATGAGGAGCCGCTTACATTAGCCTTGTAGCTCCAGTGCAAAACTAAAGCAGCAAACTTCAAGCACCAAACATGGTCATTCATTTGGGGTAAAGAGGGGGCAACAAGAAACTGGATTTCTCCAAATTATCGCATTAACTACGTACTGAGTTCTGCTAATAATCTGATTACTGCTCATGAGCTGAGCTTACAGTTTTGCTCCTTCAGTGGTTCAGATAGTGAGGCTTGTTTCTGACATTCTGCATCGCGTTATGTTGCAAAAGTAGAGCTGGGTCAATACCGTCAATATCAGTCAATATCGACGATACATACATATACATATATACATACACACACATATATAAATATACACACATAATACGTATCACGATAAATGTCAAATAATTATTTATTTCGAGTCTGAAGGCTGATTTTTGCTCCTGAGTGGTTAATCGCTGTTTAAAACTATCCTTTATGGTCAGAACACGACAAACACTCACCAACCAGTGGAACATTTCACAGATCTGTCTTGGGAGAGTGGGAGAAAGTGTCTGATTAGCTGTTTTTACCAGCTGGAAAAGCTCGGCCGCAGTTTTTGTAATAGACATAATTTAAGAAAGATTTTTTTTTAGCTGTCTGGTGACGAGCACTCGACTGTCCGGTTACAAATACTAAACAAGTGGCCAACAACAGTGCTAAACCGTTTAGTGAACAGCCAACATTAGCTGGCTCGGTGGGTCAGTGATGGATCACACCGCCTTACTGCCATCACTCCACCACATCCACGTCAGAGCATATCACAGTATTCAGACACCAGCTAGCAGACGACTCTCTATAGTAATTTAAGGGGTGAACCGCAATATATCAACACCAGACAAACAGAGTCCTCCTTTTAGCTCCTTTCAGCAATTCCCCATGCTGTGCGAGCGACGGAGCACTGCTTCAGTTTAGCCAGCTGCTAAAAACAGCTAGCCTGGGAAGCTATAGTGCTCTCCCGCTCTCCAATGCCACACATACAGCATCTTCAGTTAACTTTCGTTTACTTGGTCACAGGAGAGCAGATCGCCGGTCGCTCCACTCAAACAGGAAACGTCTAACTCCACGTTTCAGACACTGCTGAAGTATATTTGGCGACTGGTTTCACTCCTTGACACCCCCCCCCCATCTAATCATGTCAAAAAACTCTGAAGTGCGCCCCCTCCTGGTGACAGCAGAGTAGTGTCGCTTTCCTTGCAGTATAAAACGCCACCGGGGCTGTCGCTAAACGTAGAAGTGTGAGAATACTCGATTATATCGAACAGTTCTTATATTTCTATCGGGGACAGTCATATCACGATAATCATCGTTACTGTTTTATCGCCCAGCCCTAAACAAAAGGGAAGGAAAAACTCACACACACAACAAACATCTGCTCCAGCCACTGCCTTTAGAACCCACCAGCGCTGGAATAAAGCAGCCACCAACGTAAAACATTCACTCCCACTTTCACAGACATCCTTCATCCGCCGGTCATCACTCACAGCCTAATTCATCAGCGTCTTCCAGCTCTTTCTGAAATGGCTAGTCTATCTGACCGATGCAAGTAGAGCTGTACATAAAATACAACCACAAATTTTATATTTAGCTCTTTTTTTTTAAGGTGCACTGAGCATGCATCCTAGAGACTCCTCGTCTCAGACAAAGACAACCCAGGGTCTATTAGGGCTGCACGATTCTCAGGATTCTTCAATATATCATATAATTTTGGGCCTCATTCACCAACCGTTCTTAAGAAGAAACTTCCTCCTAAAACCCACTTACAGTTTCTGTCATTCACCTCTGTTCTCTTATCTGGGATTAGTTCTTAGGTAAGAACAGAATCTACACACACTCAAGAGCACAAAGGTGAGAACAGTTCTGCGCTTCAAGAACACGACATGAATCTGACGTAGACTTTTTCTCAGGATCTTTCACAAGAACACACTTAGGAAGATATTGGAGAATGAGGCCCAACATGTATGTTTACTAATTGTTACCTAGTACTTGCAGCACAACAGCTCAGAGATCAATGTAAACAGCTATTACAAACATAAACAAATCTGCGTATAAACTGCATTATAAAGTATAATCTAACTAAATAAATAAAATGTAAACATAATGATGTTGGGGTGGCATGAATGCAAAATATTGAGTAACTGTTTAATATTTCATTGACACTAATAAAGAACAGGCCTACGTCTCGACAATAAGCCTAAAATTTCAACAGTACAAATCAATCAAACGTGATTGTTTTCTATGGAGATGAATGATTTAGGGGAAATATTGTGATTTTTCTCACTTATATACAATTGCAATTTTTTTTCGATAAATTAAGATTCAAGCCTGTTTTTTTGGCCAGAATATCCACCTTTTATAGCTTGAGCCTTGACCCCTGAATGTAGTGAATGGAGCCCTAGTTTTTGATAACGTAGCCATAGTTTTTGATAACGTAGCTCTAGTTATTGATAACATAGCCCTAGTTTTTGATAACGTAGCTCTAGTTATTGATAACATAGCCCTAGTTTTTGATAACGTAGCTCTAGTTATTGATAACGTAGCCATAGTTTTTGATAACGTAGCTCTAGTTATTGATAACATAGCCCTAGTTTTTGATAACGTAGCTCTAGTTATTGATAACATAGCCCTAGTTTTTGATAACGTAGCTCTAGTTATTGATAACGTAGCCATAGTTTTTGATAACGTAGCTCTAGTTATTGATAACGTAGCCCTAGTTTTTGATAACGTAGCCATAGTTTTTGATAACGTAGCTCTAGTTATTGATAACGTAGCCCTAGTTTTTGATAACGTAGCCATAGTTTTTGATAACGTAGCTCTAGTTATTGATAACGTAGCCCTAGTTTTTGATAACATAGCCCTAGTTTTTGATAACGTAGCCATAGTTTTTGATAATGTAGCTCTAGTTATTGATAACGTAGCTCTAGTTATTGATAATGCAGCCCTAGGTTGTGATAATGGAGCCCTAGTTTTTGATAACATAGTCCTAGTTTTCTACAATTTTAGGCTTTATTTGCACAACTCTGTGTGCAAAGCTTGCTGTGCAGATGGTGCTAATAAATACTGATGTGATAATCACTTTCCAAGCAGTAACATTAGCTACGTGGCGTCCTTCTGCATTAGCCAGCTAACACCAAAGCAACGCACTAGGGCCGAAAAATTAATCTTTTTTTAAATCGCAATTTGTAAGAGTGCCAATTTCAAAGTGCAAAAGTTGCCATTTTTATTTTAAAATACAGTAAAAACAATCTTGCCTCGAAGTTTTAAATGGAGAAAATTTAATAACGCAGGGGTTGTGAACTGCGTGTAGATGAGTTTGAGCCATCAGAAGCAACAAACATCCCTGAGCTGTATATGTGACATCACAACCATGAAAACTAACTGGAAGTCTGATGCACTCAGCGTTCAAGCTTCATGCCAGAAGAAACAGATATTCAGGTCTTCAAGGCCCAAAAAACAGGCCTGGAAATTACAGAAAATAACTGCATTTAAATCGCAATACTAGTGAGAAAAATCCCAATAAGATATCATCATTAAGTTATTATTAAGTGCATGTAAACACACTCAGTGTATAATGAGTAACTCTATTCAACACATCAGAGATGGAATAAGAACTTTACTTAGTTATCATCTAGAGCAGGGGTCTTCAATTAAAATTCAGTAAGGTCCAGTTAGAGAAATTTTCTCAAGCAAAGGTTCAGATCATCATAATGTCTGACTTGCATCATGATTCAGAGCCATATACTGTACAATTCAGTCATATTTCAACAACATTTATTGTCAGTTTTGTCTTTTTAGAGAACGTCATGTGAAATTACTTCCCTCTGACTCACTTTCTTCTCCGACTGCTGTTTCTCGCCTCGTCCCTCCCGTGTGTGCGTCACTCACTCGAGTCTCAGTGCTCATCGTAATGCACAGATCTGATTGGCTGAGTAGCATTATGTGTGATATTTACAACGCATGCGATTGGTCTGTGAGTCTCCCGGGCCGCTAAAGCTACCGTAAAGGGCAGAAAATTACTCAGATTAAAACAGGACCACCCCGTCGAAATTAAACAATTCTCCTTAGTTTATCGGTTTTAGGTCCAGGTCCGCATAGGACAGTGTCTGGGCCTGGACTCGGACCGCAGTCCGCCTATTAGTGACCTCTGATCTAGAGCTGGACGCACAAAAGTCTGTAGTCACCAGTATTTCTTCGAAAATCAACCTCTACTCTTCTGAGAAGGCCTTACACTAGATGTTGGAACATTGCTGTGAGGATCTGATCCCCTTTCTCTGTCATAAATTCATCTTTTAATGTGCACCCATGGCCTATTCCATAGAAAAGCACTGACCAACAGAACGGGACGCTCTGGAGCAGCGTGAGCTCACCATGCCCAATGCCAAGCGTGGGCTACAGGTGTATGAAGCCCCCCAGCATTGGAATGTGAAGCAGTGGACCTGCGTTCTCTGGAGTGATGTAGCTCCATCCTATACCTTTACTGATCTGATCATCCAACATCAGTACCTGACCTCACTAACGCTCAATCAAATCCTCACAGCAGTGTTCCAACATCTAGTGTGAAGCCTTCCCAGAAGAGCTGAGGCTGTTACTGCAGCAAAGGGGGCAAATTCACTATTAACACCCTTCATTTCAGGCGATGTTGGAAGCACGAAGTCAGCTTCCTATTCGAATTTTTCCGTTCCACCTTAAATGGCGCAATAGTTGCACTCTGGCGTCGGAGGCGCCAGAACGTAACTTCGGCGCCATTTAAGGTGGAACGGGAAAATTCGAACAACAACCTGGCGAACAAGAAGCTGACTTCAGCTTCGTATATATCACTATGATTCGCTTAAAATACCAGGTGGATAAAACGGTTGTTTGCTGGAGAATACAGTGAAAGAAAATACAACCCCCCCACAATATAAACACAACGCATTTCTGAGACGCGTTTGCTAGCTTAGCTTAGCATAGCGCTATAGGGAATGTCAGTGGAATGCTAACGAAGCTAGCGCGCTAACTCATTAGCAGGACCTTGTTTACATTCTGCTTTTGTGCACTAATAATGCGTATATAACTTAATATGTGCGGGTGAAAAATGCCGAACTGGGTCCTTAAGGCGTGTTCGGTGTTTTAGAAAGTGAGCTGAGTTAGCTGTTGGGCTAACGGATACACAATACAGCTGCTGGCTAGGCTAGGCTAAGCTAAGCTAAGCTAGGCTGAAGTTGACGCTAAAAGAGTGTGTCTCCCTCCCTCACTGTGTGTGTGCGTGTGTGTGTGTTTACAGTGAGTGTGTGTGCGGTCAGTTTACTCACTATGTACTCGCGAACCTGACTGTGGAAATTCTGCTCTCTGATCGTCACTTCGTCTTCTTCCATTCTTCATATTGCAGATGCTCATCAGTGTCCGACCTGATCTCAGCTCACAGCCAACCTCTCTCTCTCTCTCTCTCTCTCTCTCTCTCTCTCTCTCTCTCTCTCTCTCTCTCTCTCTCTCTCTCTCTCTCTCTCTCTCTCTCCGCTCTCTCTTTCTGTATCTCTCTCTCTCTCTCTCTCTCTCTCTCTCTCTCTCTCCACTCAAAACAACAGAGACTCCTGTCTACAGATACACCACACTACAGCACTAGAATAAATAATAATAAAATCAATAATATAATGATAAAATAAGTATTATTATTATTGTTATTATTGTTATTATTATTATTATTATTATTAATATTATTACTAGTAGTAGTAGTAGTCGTAGTGGTGGTGGTAGTACAGTTATTTGTTTATTATTATTTTTCATATGCATTAATTACATATAAAGCAATATTCATTTTATTTAGTTACATGTAATTAATTTAATCATAACAATTATCAAATTTAAATGTTTTATCTATTTATCTGTTTATTTATTTATTCATTAATTTATCAGCACTGAGTGCATATGTGAGAATTTCAACTGTTGATTAGGTGAGTTTGCTTATATAGTTAACAATATTGCTAATTAAGTTCACTGCTTAACAGCTGCTTTCAAAATGCTGCAGTACAGAGAGAGAGAGAGAGAGAGACACTGTGAGTTGAGATCAAGTCAGACACTCTGATGAGCATCTGCAATATGAAGAATGGAAGAAGACTACTACTACTGCAAATACTCTAGCAGCACTGCTGTGTCTGATTTAGTCGCACCAGCACAACACACACTAACACACCACCACCACGTCACGTACACCTTACCTTACTGACTTATACACCAATCAGACAAATGTTTCTATTCTAACACACACATATATATAAATATATATATATATATATATATATATATATATATATATATATATGTGTGTGTTAGAATAGAAACATTTAACAAAACGTAATTTTAAATATGACACATATTGATGATTATTTGCAAAACATAAAACATCACATTCATATCAAGCTCATTGATTGTTCTGGCAAAAATGCTAATGTTTATATCTGCAGTGTAAGCATAACCGAAAAGAAGGAAATACAGCAGTGAACACGTAGCTCTGGGTTTCACATGCGTGAGAACTGAAAACGAGTACCTGCTCTGGGCTGTTTGCTGTGAGCTGCTGGGTCTTTTCAAATGAAGCCTTGAAACCCACTGTTGGCCGTTGCTGTTTTCCATTCCTAACAACTAACTGAAATCTGGTTAGACTGTGACTCGTATTTACAGTCAGTGACGTATCTGGAACTTCCAGCAGGACTAGAGTGACTTTTTCTCTCATTAAATCGGTTCTACCCATTGTATATCAAACTGTGATTGGTTGATTCCTCCATCCCTTTGTAATTATGCTGACAATTAATCTAATGTGTTAGGACTTCTCTACAGCTCCTGAAGTCCTAACCAAATGGGGAGTTCGCTTAGGTATTTCTACCTAGATACCGTGTCCCTGATTATGTCACCTGTTATGTTAATTACAGGTAACAGTAATGTGACGCTGTTATATTGCAGTTATATTATTTGTCATGACGTGGTTTATGGTAAGGTAATGTCAATGTAATGTATCAGGTCCAAATAAAATGTTGCCAATTTAGGTTCAGATTAGGAAGTTTGTTTGTTTTTCCATTATCTTGGCTTTGATCCTTATAAAGGGGCTACCAGACACCTCAAAGGTTGAATACTAAAAATAGTAGCTGTGGCTGAAGGAGTTCAAGGGGAATCCACTGATCTACAAAAGATGCTCTTGACCAAAAAAGCTTATCTTTCGCTATGAAGACCTTGTAAAACAGCCTGTAGAGAACACAGAGAAGGTACAGGGTACCGAAGTCCATGTTTAGGAAGAAACATGTTTTTGTAATGCTGGGGAGTCCACAGTCCAGTGTTACCCTTTAAATCACCATCACTGCTGATCAAACCTCTGGGTGAAGAACAGCTGTATCAGACGCAGTGATGGTGAAGACGGCGGCGGTTCTACAGTCAGCACTGTTGCTATTTGTGTGGGGCGCACTGGCGCAGGACTTCATGTCGCCGAACATGAACATTATGGAAGAACTGGGGAACTAAAGAACATGGAAGAACGACTGAGAACCATGGAAGAAAGGCTGCAGAGCAAGAGCAGCACAGAAGAACAACTGCAGAGGGAGAATGAAGGTGGATTTTTACCTTAAATCTTTGGCAGATTGATCACTGCAAATGAGATAAACAGGAACATATACATAAATATTTTAATAATTTGTAAAGCAGTTTTTAAGTTTGGCCTGAAAAGTCAGAAGGATTTTATTGTTCATGTTTGGAAAATTAAGGAAAAACAATGGTCAGTATGGAGGATGTTTGACCTCTATATCCAGTCAGTGGACATATAATGACTAACATATGAATCAATGTTTATTTTAACCAGCTCTGAAGACGACAGTGGAAATGATGAAGGCTAAACTGGAATCACTGCAGAGCATTAAAGCAGGTGAACCAGAACAAAGCCAGGAATGTAAGCCATAAAAGTTTGGACTCACTTGTCATATTAATAGTTATTATTCAGGAATAATTTAGAAAACATACACACATACAAACATCGTCTAAACCGCTTATCCTTCTGGGTCGCGGTGGGATGCGGGAGCCTATCCCAGCTGTCACTGGGCGGAAGGCAGGATACACCCTGGACAGGTCGCCAGTCCATCGCAGGGCAGAGAAAACATACAATATTGTGCAAAAGTCAGAGACCCTTTATCTATTTATCTTTTTTAGTAAAAAAAATTAAATGCAAGTTTTTCATTTTTCAGTGTCAAGACTGAAGCAAAAAAGTTATTTAACAGAAAATCACAGAGAAGCCTCAACAACTAACTCTAATCTCAGCTCTGTGAGTCAGTGAGTCAATCTTTACCTTTAATCCAGCTTCCATTCCTTTCAGGAGACTCACTTTCAGTTCCTCAAAGAATCTGCAGACACACCTCCAAAGTTCAGTCTCAGAAGCTGGTTGATCATTTTCTGAAGTAATCAAACACATTCAGAGATGTTGAGATCTGGACTCTGGGGTGGTCAGTCCGTTGTTCAGCTTCTTTGTTTGATGTGTCTCCTTTTCTCAGTGAGGCTTCATGGCAGCTGCACATCCTTTCAGACCCAGCTTTGATTGGTCATCTCATTTTGTATTTTTTTTGTGAAAAATTGTCCACACCTAGCTTTTTGATTAGTGAGATTTGCTCACCACGTTTCAAATATGAAATATTCTGGATACTCATTTTGTTATGGGATATTGAGTGCAGAATAATGGGGAAAAACTTTTTTTTTATTTTAGCACAAGACTGCAACATAACAAAACATGAAAAAAGTGAAAGGGTCTGAAAACTTTCTGAATGCATCGAGTATACGTTTATATATATATATATATATGTATATATATATTGTACAGTAGTGTGCAAAGGTCAGTGATCTTTTGTTTATTTCTTTAAGGGTCAGGAAAAAAGCGTAAAACACATATAAAACACACGTAAAACACAGACCCGTCACACCAAGCCTTTGAAATGTCTCAGAGCCTGTCACCTGCTCTTTAAGGGCTCCAAGCCCTAGGCGTCCTCAGGAGCTCGGGTCGTCCGCTGTGGCCGTCAGAGTGACGTGGTCCTCCTGGGTCACCAAAGGATGTTGAGAGGTTTCTGAAGCTGCTGAGGGGCTTTGACGGCATTCGGATGCTTCCAGGGAGCTTGCAGGGGTTCTCTGTGCAGCTGAGGGGCTTTGATGGTATTCGGATGCTTCCAGGGAGCTTGCAGGGGTTCTCTGTGCAGCTGAGGAGCGTGGGTTGGGTCCTGAGGGGCATCGTTTTAGAGGGCCCCGGGGACTAGGGTACCGTTTATGATCTAACAGATACAGAGCCTGGTAGCCATCCTGGAGCACGGAGTAAGCAGCCCCACTCTCTCCACCAGCTAAAACTCCTGGCCCTTGAGCCACCAGTCAAGGTTCACTTTCTCCATCATCCGCTGCATCGCCAGCGCTGGTGAGGGCGCTGCTCGTGTGTGCATGGGTCTAAGGGAACCATCCACTGGCACTGATGCTGTTTGTTCAGATCTTTTAAAACCGACGGCTTCCCCCACAGGGCAAAAGATCTCACTGCCAGGGTGTCCCGCCACAAAGTGAAGCCAAGTATGTGCACATCTCATATGGATGCAAGCCAGAACTCAGCTCAGACCCCCAGGGCGACTGAAAGCCGCTTTCTCTTCTTTTTAGGATGAATAATTAAGAACAGACTTGCTTCTGTAATATGACTCTGTGAAACCTCTCATCTTGGTCTGTCTGATCTTCACTTAAGATAAAAAGAGAGGACGTTCCTGCAATACGGCTCCTGGGGCCATACTACAGAAAATTCTGAGATCGAGTCTTTTGTTGTCATGGCAACTTCGGTTAAGACTGAAGTTAGGACATTATTCACCACCATCTCTGTAACATTTCATCAACATTATCACACAAAGGTAATAAGAGGGACGGTGGAGATCGAGTCTGCAGCGTCTGGTGCTTTTAAAACGCTGTTAGAAAAGAAAACTCACAGGTACCATTTTCAATGTAGATAAATGTAACGTCATTATGCCAGTTATAGTGAATTATGCTGCCCATCACTGCATAAAACAATAGAAACAGATGGTTTAAACAGTTAAAACAGAAGTTAAGAAACTCTGGGGTTTAACTTAAAGTTAAGAAAATATTTAGGACATTTTGGCAACTTAGGATGTTTCTGTAAGATAAGATTATAGACTTAAGAACTGTTGTTATCACCTGTCTGTAAAGCACTTTGAGCTGCCACCAGCATGAAAAGTGCTATATAAATAAAATTATTATAATTATTATTTTATATATTTATGTATTTACAGACAGAAAGGTGGCCTTTTCTGCATCGCTGTTTGCCTCTGGAAGTGGACATACTTGACCATTCAGGTCTGTGACATCTCCACTCATCTACAAAAAAGTCGTCACTAACTATGGAAATGGCTACGACTTCAATACAGGTACATACAGTAAACAGAAATTACTAACATGAAGGTCTTTTGTTCTGAAACTTCAGTTAAATATTATGGAAATATTTCAGCTATTTAAGCTGCTTTCACACCGAAAGTGGAAAGTGGGCTGTGATTTTGTACTAAATTTATACATTTCTGCATAATTCAGTATTTCACATGTAATCAGAGAGATTCAGAGCGGTTTGGTGTGAAATGGTTCAGATGTCTTTACAGTGGTGGTGATAGGAACCAGGGGTCGCCATGACTACAACACAAATATAGACATTTTATTTACTATCCAGAACCACCAGTGAACCTACACGAGTCTTCTGAGTTTATATGGAATGTTGATGATGGAAAATAGTGGAAAATCTGAAATAATAAGTTTTCTTTGGGGACTATTTTGCCTCACAGCGCCCTGCATGTATCCCTCCACCATGAATGGAGTTTAAGTTCTCAAAACTATCATAAAACAGTGTCTCAGTCATCAGGCAGTGAATTCATAACCATTTCATGTAGGAACTTTCTGTGAGGGAGCTTTTAGAGGTGGACGTCTGGTTCCTATCACCGCCACTGTGAACAGTTCTGACTCAGTAAGTTTCTCTGACTCTGTTTACGTCTCAACGATATAATTATTAAAATCTAAATGCTTTTTCTCTTTCAGGGATTTTCACCGCACCGCTGAAAGGAGTTTACTACTTCAGATTTTATGCTCATGGTCATGCTAACCTCAGAATGGCTGTCAGCCTGTACAAAAATGATGAGGTGCAGTGCTCTGTGTTTTCTATGAAGCCTGTGTCTAATGGGAACGCCAGCAATGGGATCGTACTCATTTTAGACAAAGGAGATCAGAGCTACACCAAGCTTTGGGACATGGCCTGGGTTTACGATGATCCAGCAAGCTATACAAGTTTTAGTGGATTTCTGCTTTTCCCGCTATAAATGTCTGTAATATCCCATATCCAGTACTGAGTATGAAATAAAATGAAGCCTTTACATTATATTTATCAGAGGTCAGGTGAATTTCTGCAAATTTCATGTCTACTTTGTTTCCTCTTGCTCTTTCCTCTTCCAATTCTCTAGAAAGCCACTGTCTGCCGTAGCATTACAATTTCCTTTCACAGGAACTAAGGGGCTCAAGCCATGAAACAGGCTCAGACCCATTATTCCTCCTCCACCAAACTGTACATTTGGTCTACTACATTCAGAGAGGTCACGTCCTCCTGCATCCTCCAAACCCAGATTCATCCATCAGACTGCCTAAGCTTGATGTTAGGCTTGTGTGTGGCTGTTTGCACAAGCAAAATCTAATGTGCCAAGTTCCTGATGAATAAAGCTTGCTTTCGGACGCAGTTTAGTGTTGCTGTAGTGAGTGTTGTAAACAAGGACAGACTCAAGGACCTGCTCTGTGAGCTTGTGTAACCCACCACTTCATGGCTGAGCTGTTGTTGCGTTCCCGTTAACAGTAACAGCACTTACAGTTGACCAGGGCAGCTCTAGCAGTACAGAAATTTGACCATTTGACTTGTTGGAAAGGTGACATCCTATGACGTGACACCTTTAAAGTCCCTTACCTCTTCAGTACGCCCCATTCTTCTGCCAATGTTTATCCATGATGGTTGCATTTTATGAACCTCTTAGCAACCCAAGTTGTTGCTATATATATATATATAATATTTAATGAACATATTGAATGAAAGTCGCTGTTGAAGGGTTGAGAATGGCCAAGAAAAACTGTACATCAATAAATGGGCATTAACAAACTCCAGGTGGAGCTTAAAGGAAGGGAATTCTGATAAAGTGACCAGTATCTATACACATTGATCCTGTGGACAGAGTGACCTGAGAGTGGCTGATATATGATGCGAAGACACAGATGGGTGAAGCTTCAATATATACATAATTTGCATGGTGCAGAAGAAGAGTCAGATGAGGCCATAACTTCTGTTTGAAAAATGCTCTTTTTTTTGAGAGCAAGGGAAAACAGTGCCACTTGAAAAGCAACTGAAAATTGAGGTAGGTCACTCCTAGCCCTGCTCTTTCTTCTGAGGGTCACCAAACACAAACACACTCTCCCTAACTCTGAGCTGGACACAAAATAACAGAGTAAACACACAAACACACACTGTAACTGAAGAACAACAACATAGCAACATTGAATAACAATGTGAACAGTCTGTTTGGTTGCAAAGCTACAACACACACAACCCCAAAAGTCCCTCTCTGTCTAAACTAAACATTTTATGAATTATATTATTCATTTTTTCATCTCAATGTTCGATCCATGTACATCAATGTTCATTCAACATATATCAATGTTGATTCAACATATATATCAACGTTCATTCAATATATATCAATGTTCATTCAACATATATATCAATATTCATTCCATATATATCAGTGTTGATTATAGATATTTCAGTGATCACTCTATATATATTAATGTTCATTGTACATATATATCAATGTTCACTGTATATATATCAATGTTCATTCAATTTATATCAATATTCATTCCATATATATCAGTGTTCATTCCATATATATCAATGTTCATTGTATATATATCAAAGTTCATTCCATATCAAAACCAAGACTTTTAGTAGTCGAGTCCAAGCCAATAATTAATAAAACATTATTATTATTATTATTATTATTATTATTACTATGTAGTCTTAGTTATATTTTGCATTGTAACCGGAAGCAGTTTTAAGGTTATTCTCTGTCTTTTTTTTTTTTGAAACCTAAAGTTAGCAGCTGTGGTTGAAGGTATTCAAGGAGAATCCACTGATCTACAAACTGATCAATCTTTACCATTGAGCTCATCTTGGGCAACAAAGAGCTTGTAAAACAGCCTGTAGAGAACACAGAGAAAGTACAGGGGAGGTACCGAAGTCCATGTTTGGTTTGGAAGCAACATGTTCATGTAATACCAGTGATTCCGGAAAGTCCACAGTTATCCTTTATACCTTGGCCTCCAGAGACCCTTGTTTACTGCTGATTAGTGTTGTAGTCAGACCGAGACTGTGACACATCCGAGTCCAGACCAAAAAGTTTAGTAGTCTAGCCTGAGTCAATAATAATAAAAAAAAATATTAATTATTATTATTTTGTAGTCTTAGTTTAATTTTGCATTGAAATTGGAAGTAATTTTAAGGTCATTCTCTGTCCTTCGTCCCTAAAGCATACTCAGAATCACCACCTAAAGTCAAATAGACACAAACTGAACATCCATGTTATTATTAACTGAAAACATCGTAATAATAACATGCCGATCTGCCCTTAAGTAGGCTGTTGATCTTCAGTTAAGATCGTTGATCTTACTCAGTTAAGCCATGTTGGAAAGGATCAACTAGATCCTCAACCATTAGATTAGATTTAAACATATGCAGCAGTGATTTTTAAAACTGTGGGCTGCGGCCCCCCAGTGGGCCGTTGTGGTACTGCCACTTTATTTTTTTTCACAAATACAAAATATGTGTTACAATAGAAATGTGTTCATATCAAGCTCATTGATTGTTCTGGCAAAAATGCTAATGTTTATATCTGCAGTGCAAGCATAGCCGAAAAGAAGGAAATACAGCAGTGAACATGTAGCTCTGGGTTTCACATGCGTGAGAACTGAAAACGAGTACCTGCTCTGGGCTGTTTGCTGTGAGCTGCTGGGTCTTTTCAGATGAAGCCTTGAAACCCACTGTTGGCCGCTGCTGTTTTCCATTCCTAACAACTAACTGAAATCTGGTTAGACTGTGACTCGTATTAACAGGCAGTGATTTATTGTGAACTTCCAGGAGGACCAAAGTGACATTTTATCTCATAAAATTGGTTCCAGCCATTGTAAATTAAACTATGATTGGTTGATTCCTCTGAGTGTGTGTGTGTGTGTGTGTGTGTGTGTGTGTGTGTGTGTGTTTGTTATGACTAACACTGAATCAATGTTTATTTTAACCAGCTCTGAAGACGACGGTGGAAATGATGCAGGCTAAACTGGAATCACTGCAGAGCATTAAAGAAGGTGAACCAGAACAAAGTCAAGAATGTGTAATGAAAAAGTTTGGAATCACTTGCCATAGTAATAATTATTATTCAGGAATAAGTTAGAAAACATACAACAGACCTGTTATTCATTCATCTTTTTTTGGTGAAAACAGACATTAAAAACAAGTTTTAAATTTTTTCGTGTCAAGACTAAAGCAGATAAGCTATTTAAAGAGATCTTTAAATAAATAAAGATCTTTTTTTTATTAATAGCTGAAATGCACTGTTCTGTATTAATAAAATATACCAGCCTCGCCAGGGAGCGTAAATTTGAGGGGGAACTGAATCAGATGTGACACCGGTACCATGAACAACTTGTAGAACATAAGGATTTAGGGCCACTGCGGTAAATGAATCTTAGATAGTGTTCAGAGAAATACACCTTATTTATTCAGAATTCAGGGCATCTAAGAAATCAGGACTTGGGTTATATTGAATGTAGACCTGCTGAACAGATGATTAGAAGCGAGCTGTCACGGTTTTAGGGAATGTTCTACTGTTCAGCGCTCGCTGCTACTCATTTTCTGGCACTATGTTGACTCTTCGGCGGTTTTAGTCAGCGGCTCATACTGTTCAGGCTCAAGAAGCACTGCCTGATCAGAAACACCTTCCCCCATCAAAGATGGGGATGGTAGTAGAGAAAAAGCCTCGTAAAACCTCTCAGTTACAAAAGTGCCGTTTGATTCTGCCTCTCTCCATATTTTCTGGTATAAAAACACAGCAGCCCAGCCCACCCTGCCCAGTTTCCCTCCCAGCCCCACCTCCAAACCCAAACATCACTGCAGTGCCCCTCCCAGTGTGTAGTTACTCTTTAAACAGAAAATCACACAACAGCCTCAAGCCTCAACATCTAAACCTAATATCAGCTGTTTGAGTGTTCAGTGTGTCACTCTTTACCTTCCACTCTGTTCAGGAGACTCACTGTCTGCAGACACACCTCCAAAGTTCAGTCTTAGAAGCTGGTTTGATTTTCTGAAGTAATCAAACACATTCAGTGGTGTTGAGGTCTGGACTCTGGAGTGGTCAGTCCATTGTTCTTTGTTTGATGTGTCTGTCTCCTAATATGTGTGTGTGTGTGTGCGTATAAACGTATTTACAGCCAGACAAGTGGCCTTTTCTGCATCGCTGTCTGCCTCTGGAAGTGGACATACTGGACCATTCAGCTCTGTGGAATCTGCGCTGATCTACAGAAAAGTCTCCGCTAACTTTGGAAATGGCTACAACAGCGAAACAGGTACATACAGTAAAAATAAATTATTAACATGAAGGTCTTTTATCCTGGAACTTCTCTTAAATATTATGGAAAAAAAAATAGCTGTTCAGCTGCTTTCAGACTGAAAGTGGAAAGTGGACTGGTTCGTCTTAATCACTGTGTTATTTCTTTTGAAATACTATTAATTTATACATTTCTTCATAATTCAATATTTTATGTAATCAGAGTGATTCAGAGTGGTTTGGTGTGAAATGGTTCAGATGTCTTTACAGTGGTGGTGATAGGAACCAGGGGTCGCCATGACTACAACACAAATATAGACATTTTATTTACTATCCAGAACCACCAGTGAACCTACACGAGTCTTCTGAGTTTATATGGAATGTTGATGATGGAAAATAGTGGAAAATCTGAAATAATAAGTTTTCTTTGGGGACTATTTTGCCTCACAGCGCCCTGCATGTATCCCTCCACCATGAATGGAGTTTAAGTTCTCAAAACTATCGTAAAACAGTGTCTCAGTCATCAGGCAGTGAATTCATAACCATTTCATGTAGGAACTTTCTGTGAGGGAGCTTTTAGAGGTGGACGTCTGGTTCCTATCACCACCACTGTGAACAGTTCTGACTCCGTAAGTTTCTCTAGAATGGAGAATTTCACAGCAAACCACCCTGAACGACTCTGTTTATATCTTAATGATTTTATTATGTAAAAATGTTTTAAAAATCTAATTCCTCACTGTCTCTCCTTTTAGGAATTTTCACCGCACCGCTGAAAGGAGTTTACTACTTCCGATTTTATGCTCATTGTCACACTGGCAACAAAATGGCTGTCAGTCTCTACAAAAATGATAAGGTGCAGTGCTCTGTGTTTTCCGAGAGGCCTTGGACCAACGGCAACGCCAGCAATGGGATCGTCCTCATTCTAGAAAAAGGAGATCAGATCTACACCAAGCTTTGGGACGAATCCTGGGTTTACGATGATCCAGCAAGCTATACAAGTTTCGGTGGATTTCTGCTTTTCCCTCTATAAATGTCAGTAATATCCGATATCTATTACTGAGTATGAAATAAAAGGAACAATTACACTACATTTTTAAAGGTCAGATGAATTTCTGCATCTCACATTGCAAGTTTCATTTCCACTCCTCTAGAATCTCATTGTACGCTGTAGCATTAAGATTTCTCTTTACATGAACTAAGGGGCTCAAACCATGACAAACAGCCTCAGAACCAAACTTACATTTCTCAGCCAAGCTTTATATTTGGCACATTACATTTGGGCAGGTCACGTCCTTCTGGATCCCCCAAAACCAGATTCTTCTGTCAGACTGCCAAAGCTTGATCTTAGGCTTGTGACTAATAGATCTTGCTTCCAGATGCAGTTTGGGACTCAGTAGTGAGTGTTATAACTGAGGACAGACTTAGGGACCTGCTCTGTGAGCTTAAGTAGCCCATGGCTGAGCTGGTGTTGCTTTCTGGTTCACAAAAATAGGCAAGGCAAGGCAAGTTTATTTACATAGCATCTTTCATACACTGCTGTCATTCAAAGTGCATAAAAAAGAAGAAAATTCAATGATAATCCAAAATCAAATTTAAAAAGATGAAGGAAATTTTAATTTAAAAACATGATTAAAACAGAAAATAGGTTTTAAAAATGAAATCAAACGCGCCAAGCAGATTCAGACACTCGCAGATGTAAAACACAAAGGAGGCTTTACTGATAGAATCACAACCCAAAGTCGTCGTCACAAAACAAGCATGGGTCAATTCCAGAAAGCGCAAAAGAAACAAACACACAAACATAACACCAGGCAGAATGTCCAAGAGGGGAGAGGCAAAAACGTAGTCGGGAATGCAGGCAAAAAGGTCAGAAATCAGAAATCGTACACAAAGGCAAATAATCCGAAGGGCAGAGCAGTAGATCACGCAGCGGATACAATACCTCGCGGTCCCTATGCTAAAGCCCCGCTATAAACTAAACTAGGTTTGTCATATGATCAAGAACACAGGTGACACACATTAGAATTCAGGTGAACAACAGCGCTGATAGGAGCGCAAAGTCATATGAGGAGTCAGGTGATCTCCCAGAGGATTCTGGGAGGTTGAGTCCAGGTTAGCATCGTTATTGGTTGGCTGTGTGGAGGTCATGTGATCTCCCAGAGGATTCTGGCAGATTAAGTCCGAATCCAACGAGGTACTCGGAGGATGCGTGACACAAACATTAAAATAAAATCAAATTGAAAATTCATTTAGGATAATTGAGTACCATTACAGAAGTGCGGCAGAGTGAACAGTGTTTTAAACTGGGCTGAAAGCTGCTCATACAGGAATGTTTTCAGCCCAGATTTAAGGGTCTGATTTAGTAAGATCAGAGTTCATTAGTACACCAAGGTTATATGCTAGTTCTTTAGATTTTAGGGCTCTTGAATCCAGACAGGCAGCTCGTCTGTTTCTCATTGCTATTCCTGAATGAAATAATCTCTATTATATCTTATCTAATTCGACTGCAGAAAGTTTTGTCCCATCCAAGGCGGTTACAAAGTGGACCATAACTGTTTGGGGAGAGGGCCAAGTAGACTGGCCCTCTGCAAAGCTCTGGTAAGATGTACAATTTGGCCAAGTGGAAGCATATCGCTGTTGTCAAACTAAACCTCATATCTCCATTTTTAATTTGAAAATGCCTTTGCTCTTTACATTGTGTGTAAATTTCATGATGAATGGACCAAAAGAAATGGCCCGAAATTACTTGGACAAAATGTCTGGTTACATTGACTTACATTAAAAGTAAAGTATGTTTTTTCCTTCACCTGGAAAGTTATCTCTGAGAGTTTTATGCTTAATTTTATATATATATATATATATATATATATATATATATATATGTTGTGCACTTACTATAAGATTATCTAGCTTATATCTAGACATTTTTTTACTTGTTTTAAGTAATTTTGTGAAGTAAAATTATCTCACTATACTGCTGGTTTCAAGCACATTTTTTAAAACAAGAAAAATTATCTACTGATATAGTGAGGTAAAATTGCTTAAAATTACTAAAAAGTCCAGTAATAGGGTAAATAATCTTAAATTAAGCTTACAACAATCTCACCAGGAAAGATATTAGATTTATTGACTATATTTATACATACTTATTTAAGATAATTTTACTTGACAAGATACTATTTTTTAACAATTTCCTTTTTTTGATTTTTTTTCCAATGAAATGTAGATTTGAAATAGATCTGTATCAGTTAAAAGAATTGCTTGTAGATTTTTTTTTAAAAGAGGCTTAACAACTGCAGTTTTAAATGTGTTATGAAAAATGCTCAACATCGGTGAGGTGTTTACTATCTGAGGTATATCCATTGATATTAAGTGAAACACATCCTTTAAAAAGTTGGTAACATGTCAAGACTACAAATGGATGATTTGAGATGACTCACTCAATCAATTAAAATTCCATTAGGAATAGCACTAAAGTGGGACATTTTAACTACAGTATCTTTCAGTGGTGATGGAGAGGACAGGCTCATTGCTGGATATAGATATAATAATGGCTTGTCTGATATTATGGATATCAGGGTTAAAAAAGTATTGCAAAACTCATTGCAAAGGCATCAGTAAAATTAGCATTGTACTGTGGAGGTATGTTGACAATTAGTAGTGGTATTCTTGGTGCAATTTTCAGAGCTGCACATAGATACTGAAATGCAAAACCAAGAAATGATAACTGCTTGCATTGGAAAGAATCACCAAATAGAGCATCTATACCTCCATCTTTCTTGCCGGCACATGAGACATTTATAAGCTTCAAGTTTGGTGGAGCTGACTCAATTTATACTGTTTCAGCACTGCATTCATTTATTCATGTTTCTGTTAAAAAGCATAAACTGCTTGTTCTTAAGAGATCTAATATTGAGAAGAGCTAACTTAGTAACCTGTGCACTTTGTTCCAATTCTCCATGTTCTTTGAACACCACAAAGGTCATACACATACGTAGATTTGGAGTGGGCACTGAACAACCTTTCCCCTCATGTGTAAGTGAGAATTGAAGAACACGTTGGGGCAGTGGTTTCCAGCCCCTGCCCTGCACGTTTTGTAAGCAGAGTGACACTGCAACCTGACCTATTCACCCTATATGCAAACTGGTATGTATCTATCACTACACCTGGGAGATGTCTACAAACCAATCTTTCAAATGCATTCATGATAACAGAAGTAAGAGCTACAGGTCTGTAATCATTGAGACAGGTTACACTGGACTTTTTAGGAACAAGGCAATGGTTGTATTTTTAAAAGACAGTGGGTCCCTACATATTTTCAGTGACCGACTAAAATATATGTTAAAATATTAGAAAGTGAGTCAGCATAGAGCTTTAGGGTGGCAGGCAAGATTTTGTCAAGTCCAGCAGCCTTCCTGCAATACTGCTTCAAGAGCAAAGTGAACTGGTAACCTCAGTTTGAAACCACATCCTCAGGTATTCCATGGTAGCAAATCACTTTGTCTACCACCGAGGCTGCAGTTTGTTTAGCAGAGGGTAGTTTTGTAATTGAATGAAAAGTACCACTTTAAAAAATCAATCAACTATTACAAATTTAAGGGGGTAAGCTAGTAAAGTGCTTAGATATGTGGGACCATGGATGACTGGGAATGGGCAAATCATGGAATAGACCTGCAGGGGCCTGGTTAGATGACTTTTGGGTTGCACAGACAGTGCAAGCATGGACATAGCCCTCAGTGTCTTCTTTTATATAAGGCCCCCAGAATTGGTGATGGATAAACTTAAGTGTTTTCTCTGCCCTGGGATGTCCAACAATGGGTGTACCATGCCCCCACATCAGTACCTTAGTCCAGAGAGTAGTTGGGACACAGAGACACACCTCAAGGGGCCATCACCTAGGTTAGGGTTTGTCTTCTGGGCCTTTAAGATCTCATCCTCCAGTGCCACCCAAACTTGCCCCACCACTCGGGACAATGGCATGACAGTCTTGGAAACAGGGTCTTTGCCTAATATTGCCTAGAGAGAGCATTAACCTTTGTGTTCTTAGTTTCAGGTCGATAAGTCAGAATGAAGTCTAAGCTTTCGATCCCCAGCATTGTAATTGCACGTGGGTGAGTTTTACCATCAATGGTGGACTTCTGTGACAAGATGGCACCTGCACCGGGGTTGGATACATTCAACTCCATCACAAAGGGATGACTAGGATCAAGGTGTATCAGGATAGGCATCTTAGTAAAATGTGCCTTAAGGGTTTCAAATCTTCTTTTGCGGCCGGCATCAATTTCACCTGTGTAGGTGCACCATGGTTGAGGGTAGTGATAGGTGCTGCTACAGAACTAAAGTTACATACAAATCTTCTGTAGAAATGATCAAACCCCAAAAAGCATTGTACCTGTTCCAGTGTGGTAGGAATGGGCTAGTAAAGTACCGCCTTAACCTTAGCAGGATCCATGGCTGTGTCTGTTGGAAAGATCAGGAACTCTAGGAAGGAGATTTGATACACATGAAACCATCTTGACATAAAAATGATTCTCTAATAGATGTTTCAGAAAATTTCACCGTCTATGTCAGGGTTCTGGTGGGCTTTTAGAGAAAATGAGAATGTCATACAGGTATTCAAAGACAGAACCGTTGTACAAATCCCAAAGCACATCATTGACCAGGGAATAAAAAACAGCTGGACTGTTAGACGAAGGGCATCACCAAGTACTCATAGTGATCACTAGGGGTGCTAAAAGCAGTTTTCCGTTCATCACCTTTTCTCACACATACTAGCTGATAGGCATGGTGCAGATCCAATTTGGTGAACACAGTGGCCCTCCACAGCAGTTCAAAGGCAGATAACATAAGAGGGAGTGGGTACTTTTTCTTTACTGTAATGCAGTTTAACCCCCTGGAATCAACATATGGGTACAGGCCCCCATCCTTCCCCATTCAGTACAAAGAAGAGCCGTGCCCAGGCAGGAGAAGCAGAGGGTTGAATCAGACCATTCTGTATAGCTGCCTTAATGCATTCTTCCATGGCTCTTGTCTCAGCAAAAGGAAAGTGAAATAATCGTCCATGAGGGGACACAGGCCCAGGTAGGATATCTAGAGTGCAATTGTGAGATCTATGTGGTGGGAGAGAGCCAGACTTTTTCTTGTTAAAACATCTGTCATGTCATGAAAGACCTCTGGAACCTAAGATAGATCGATTTCTGGGGTTTCCAGCGAGCCAGTTTGGGTCTGCTTTTGAAAACTTTGGTGCTAATACTTTTACAGTCGGTGCTAGTGATATGACAACTCTTAGTACAGTCTGATCCCCATTCTAAACCCCATTTACTAAACCAAACTGTGTTTACTTGGGTAACCCAGAACCATTGGGTTTTTTGGGAGGTTTTGATAAAAAAAAAACCACAAATGTTCTTATACTAAACCTCACCTATTCTCAGTCTTCTATGCTGGAAGTTAAATTCTACTTTGCCAGAACCCAGAGGACGAGCATCTAGTGCTTGTACAGAAAGAGAAATTGGACTAAATTTGTGCAATAGCTTGGCCAGGGTGACATCAAGATGGTTCTCCTTTACCAAGTGCTGGCTTTTGCTTGCTGATGGGGGCACTCATTCTAAAAACGACTGGCTAAACCACAGTAGAGACATTTGCCCTTGTGGTGACTGTGTTTCTTTTCTTCTAGAGAAAAGTGAGAAAGAACAAGTTGCATGGGGGTTCTTCCCCACCATGTGGAGACTGTGAGGGCTCCAAGGGAGCTGTCAACAAGGGTAATGCAGACGTTTGACCAGATGTGCTATCGTGTCTCCTTTCCCATCTCCTCTCATGGAAACGCTGGTCTACACAAACAGCAGTTGGTATTAGAGTCTCTAGAGACTCGATCCAGCCATGATTTGTTAGCTCATCATTCATAGCTTTGTAGCTTCGTAACTTCTAAGTCCGTTGTAGAAGTCTTTCAGTAATGCTTCATCTTTCCACTGCCTCTCATTGAAGGCCTGTCGCAGGGCAGCTGTGAAGGTGTCCACACTGCTACACACTGCTACTGCTCCTGAAGCGCTGTTGCCCACTCAAGGGCACGACAAGGCAGAAGAGAAATGGTGTAAGCTATCTGTGATTTTGCAGAAGGGGACTGTGAGGACTGCATCTCCAGGATCAAGAAGCACTGTCTGAGGAAGACTGTACATGCCTCAGGAGGCATAGGTGACTGGGGAGTAGGCTGGAGGGTAGGCTGGGTAGGAGCAGGACTTGGCTGATGCTGGGACTGGATTAAGTTGACCATGTATCTCCTGGAAGGCTTCTGCCAGATGATTGACCAAATTTGCCAATTGTTGTAGTTGATCCTGCTGGACTTCTAACATAACTCTTTGATTCGTTTCCTGCTTTGCTCATATTCTTGGCCCAGTACTGCTGTCAAAAATGTTAAAAAGCTGAACACGAATGCAGACCAGGAGACAGGGAAGGTTGTTGCTTCCAAAGTGGTTTAATCAAAAAATCAAAACAAAGCAAAGCAGCACAAGGGGTCAATCACAAAAACATAACAAAATCACACAGGATACAGAAATGCTCTTCATAGAGGGTCAAAAGAAAAAAAACCCACCAGTACAATTCTGTAACCAGAATGATTACAAAATGCAAGGCAAAAATCCCAGACACAGCAGCAGGCAGGTGGCTTCATGACAAATTTGTTACTGAGGGCTTAAAAAGCCAGCAAGATGAGGCCCAGGTGTACCACATATGTAACTAATACAGGGCGGTTCAAGCTTAAGCCATACCTAAAAAAAGTCTAGAAGTTATAAAAGCACAGGTGCTTTGGCAGCATCTGCTGTTCAGGTGAGGTATGACAATCTATCATGACAATCACTGTAACAGTAATATGACACTGTTATATAACAGTTATATTATGTACCATGACATGACAAAGTAATGTCAGTCTAATATGCCAGGGTTCAAATAAAGTTACTAATGGTTCCACAGTTTGTATAAACCTGTATGACATGCTCAGTCACATAGCCTCTAGGTTCTAAGTTCAGATTACAAAGTTTGTTTATTCTGTCCCAGAGCTTGACTTTGATCCCAAGGAAGGGGCTACCAGATGCCCCAAAGGTTGAATCCTAAAAATAGTGGCTGTGGTTGAAGGTGATCACGGAGAATCCACAGATCTACAAAAAGATGATCAGTCTTCAGCAAAAAGCTCATCTTTGGCTATGAAGAGTTTGTAAAACAACCCATAGAGGACACAGAGAAGGTACAGAGTACTGAAGTCCATGTTTGCTTTGGAAGCAACGTGTTTATGTAATACAGTGATTCCACAGCCCAGTGTTACCCTCTAAAACACCATCTCATTTACTGCTGATCAAACCTCTGGGTCAAGCACAGCTGTATCAGATGCAATGATGGTGAAGACAGAGACGGTTCTACAGTCAGCACTGCTGCTGTGTGTGTGCGGCGCACTGGCGCAGGAGTTCATGTCGCCGAACGTGAACATTATGGAAGAACTGGGGAAACTGAAGAACATGGAAGAACGACTGAGAACCATGGAAGAAAGGCTGCAAACAATGGAAGAAAAAATGCAGAACCAGAACACATTAGTAGAGCAACTGAAGAAGGAGAATGGAGGTAATTCTTAATGCTAAATCTTTGACAAATTGATCACAGGAAATAAATGTAATTTTTTTGATAATTTGTAATGCAGTTTTCAAGTTTGGCCTGAAGAGTCAGAGTTATTAACTAAGAAGTCTTTTAATGTTCATATTTAGAAAATTCAGGAAAAAAGATCATCAGAATGGAGGATGATTGGCGTCTGTGTTAGTTTAAGTGGAAGGATTTGGAAGTAAAGTTGGATGTCAGTGGACACATAATGACTAACCTATAAATCAATGTTTATTTTAACCAGCTCTGAAGACGACGGTGGAAACAATGCGGGCTAAACTGGAATCACTGCAGAGCATTAAAGCAGGTGAACCAGAACAAATAATGTCAATAATGTGTAATACAGTTACAATCAATAATACAATCAATAATTCAGTAATACTTTAGAAATTGTATGGTACTGCGCAAAAGTCAGAGACCGTTTATTTATTTATCTTTTCCTGTCAAAACAGTAATTAAAAGCATTTTGAGTGCTCAGTGTGTCACTCTTTACCTTTATTCCAGCTTCCATTCCTTTCAGGAGACTCACTTTCAGTTTCTCAAAGAATCTGCAGACACACCTCCAAAGTTCAGTCTTAGAAGCTGGTTGATCATTTTCTGAAGTAATCAAACACATTCAGTGGTGTTGAGGTCTGGACTCTGGGGTGGTCAGTCCATTGTTCAGCTTCTTTGTTTGATGTGTCCGTCTCCTTTTCTCAGTGAGGTTCTTCATGACAGCTACACATCCTTTCAGACCCACAGCGCTGAGTCGTCTTCTCATTTTCAATTTTTTTTTCACAAAGTGTCTATGACTAGCATTTTTTTATTATAAGTTCAATCTTGATGCTTTCTCAGCTCCATTCATCATTGTTTTACAGCTTACTACAAATGTTTTAAAATCTATTAAATATTAGCATGATAGCAGAATTTTATATATGCATCTGCAACAAAACTGGTTTTACAAAATTTGCTGAAAACCATTCAATTAGCATTTTCAAATTTGCATTTGGATTTGAATGAAGTCCAAAATATAGTTCATAACTATATACACACACATATATATATATATATATATATATATATATATATATATCTTTCTCTTCCAGGAGGCTCTGAGGGTCCAACAGTTACCCACGGTAATAATGACCACAAAAGCACTCACACAGTTCAATTGCTAATGCTGCCATAATAAAGCATGCTGTATGTTTGCTGGTGTAACAGGAGTGGTCCAGATGTAAAATAAAATTCAGGGGTGATGGTGGCAGCCTTTTCAGATATCTCCTCTAATACTGTGATTACTGTTGCGCTGACTTCGTTAATTTTCTAATACTTACAAGTTCTAATATATTTTAATGTCTGTTACAAGCCTCACATAAAACATATCGTCGTTGTCCAAAGAAAAACAAGTAAAATGATAACTTCGCGTTGGTCCTGTCATGAGGAGATCGCGAGGTCAATCCCTGGTGATGCTACAGCCATCTGCAGCCAGGAGTCCAAGAAAGCACAGTTGACCTCGCACTCTCTGGGTGGGTAGGATGGCCCCCCGTCTTCCCCCATCACTTAGCACAATGCTAGTCAGCGCAGGCGTCTGTTACCAAAAGAATTCGAATGAAATTATAGATTGAAAACCCTATAAAGTGGTTGGTAAAATGTCCTTAAACTCTGCTTCTGTCACATGGCATTGAAAACTCATTGAACATACCAGATAGCAATTAGACTGAGAAGCATTATCTTGCATGACATTCATCAAACGTTAAATAGTTTTTTCTCCTTTTCCCTTACAGGATCTTCTGACGTTCCCAGCGGGCCAGTAATTTCCCACGGTAATAATGACCACAGAAGCACTCACACTATTATTATTGTTAATGCTGCCATAAGAAAGTATATTATGTTTTTCTGGTTTAATGGGTGTGGATTGTCCAAACATTGCACCAATATTCAAACTGCCAATCGCACAGTCCTGTGGGGACAAATCAGGGGTCAGTTGGCATCTGCAGGGATTTGTGGGAACCGTTATAACCCTGTGTGGACAGTAACACACCTCAGTGTCAGATACAACAGGGGACGTGTTTTTAAACCCAGCATGTTAACAGAGTAAGACAGGCTCATTATGTTGGAATAATGACTTATGACTTAAAATTGACTAACTTTGTCAAAATAGTACAGGGAGATTCACTCGAAAGAGGCCCTGAATATTCTGTGATAACTCTCGGTAGGACGAAGCAATCTGAACAAAACAATGTGCAATGTGCTCCTCAGTATATGAAGCTTCGAACAAGCTGAGGTGCCCCTGTGTCGGAACACAGGGTAGGCGCCGGACAGCCGCCACGACGTTCAACCTCCATTTGCAACTTCCGGGTGCAGACCCCCGTACCCCTTCATGTGGTTCAGATTGCTTCATCCTAACGGGAGTTACAACAGAACATTCGGGCCTCTTTCGAGTGAATCTCCCTGTAGTTATTTTACTTTCTCAAAATGGTGAGTCATTTTCTCAAAATATTGACTTACTCTGAAAAAATAACATTTTCTTGAAATATCGATGTAATGTGAAAAGACTAGTTATGTCATGAAATTTTAGCATGTTGTGAAGGGAAGCTGGCATTTTCAAATTCTTTAAAAACTACAAAACCACACAAACAGAGATGATATGAGGCTTTGTTCCTACAGCCGTTCTCTGCTGTATTGTGAATTGAAAGCATTGTTGATTTCTCTCTTTTTAATCTCTACACAGTAAACAGGTGGAACCTCTAAGTCTGTTGTCTGAATGTCTCTTATTTTCAGTCGATGAATGTGGAGACTACCCCACTATTAAAAATGGAAATCTTTACGTGGATCAATATGCATTAACATTCTGGTGTTATCCGCCTTACAAACTCAGAGGACCAGAACAAGTAATGTGTTTTAGTGGACAATGGTCAGAGGTGCCTATTTGTGAAGGTCAGTGTCACAGTTTGTATTCAATTTTTTTTTTCTTTATTTCACAGAATCATCATTCTTGTTGTATTTAAACTCTGCAAGAAGTAATTCTCTTATTTCACTGTTTTTCATGGAAACAAAAGCCTTACAACCTTGAAACACCCAGGAGAAAATGATCCAATCAGGATTGTTCTCTCTGTGGTATCCAAGCAGATACAGCTGAGCGAGCTCTCCCATTGGTTAGGACTTCAGGAGCCGGACAGAAGGCTTTACACGTTAAATTAACTGGCAACATAATTAAGAAGCGACAGAGGAATTAACCAAACACAGTCTGATTTACGATGGGACAACTTTAGTAAGAAAAACGTCACTTTAAGTTTTGAAGTTCTAGATATGTCATAGATTGTGAATATAGGTTGTAGCCTAAGCAGGTTTGGGTTAGTTGTTAGGAATGGAAAACAGCGGCGGCAGCTCTATGTCAGAACTCTTTACTGAGTCACGGTAACACTGATACATACAAGCTCAGATATACAATAATGGCACTTATAAGCCTCAAATGTCCACTATTAATCAAGAATGGCCAGAAAATGTTTATATGGCAAATCCCACAGGTGCGCTGGCAGTCATTTCGTTTTCACATTTATGGCCCAAACTAAAGGCCTGGTCACAGTTCACCAATGATAAAAACTGCCTATGTAGAATCAAGAGAAATACCCAAGCAGCAGTTACAGTTAGATATAGAAACATGTTCATTATGACTCTCAAGTCTTTTACTGAAAGCTGTTTGTTCTAAATTAAACACAGCATCTAGTGACATATTTAAGGATTGACTTCTTTACTGACCAAAAGAATTAAAATGAAATTATAGATTGCAAACCCTACAGAGTGATTTGTAAAATGTCCCTAAACTCTGTTTCTGTCACAGGCACTAAAAAAATCACTCAAAACTCCTTTTTTTGTTTTGAACATACCAGAGAACAGTCACACGTAGAAACGTTTTCTTGCATTACATTCATCAAACGTTCCTTTTTCTCCATTCTCTCTTACAGTGGAATCTGACGTTCACAGCGGGCCAGTACCTTCCCACGGTAATAATGACCACCATAGCACTCACACTGTTATTACTGTTAACACTGCCATGAGAAAGTATATTATGGTTTTCTGGTGTAACAGGAGAGGAGTTTGATCTGTGGACTGTCCCTTTAAAGACAAACATTGCACCAATAAGCAAACTGCCAGTCGGACAGTCCTGTGGGGACAAACCAGGGGTCAGTTGGCATCAGCAGGGATTTATGGGTTCCACAGTAACCCTGTGTGGACAGTAACATACCTCAGTGTCAGATACAACAGTGAACATGTTTTGCAGTCTTTAAATCCAGCATGTTAACAGAGTAAGACATGCCTGTTATTGTTGGAATACTGACTTCATTTCTTAACATATTGACTCACTATGTCAAACTAACAAGATACTTTCTTAAAAATGGCTTTTTTTCTCAAAATACTGACTCACTAATTTGGAATAATGATTTATACCACCTTACTGTCACTCTTACAGGAGACAAGGTCGGATGCAATTGCTAGGTGCTTAATTAAACACACTTAGAGTAAAAACAGTCCAGGTAAACAGCAGCAATCAGGACAATGCAGAAATCCAAAATTCAGAAAATGTTTATCATTTAATAAGGTCTAATGTGAAAGAGCATGAAGGCTAAAACAGAGAACGCTGACAAACCAGCCAGACTCTGCAAACAGACGGAGCAAACTAAGGATATTTAAAAGGGGATTGATGAGAACCAGGTGAGGAAATGTGTGAAGAGAGGGTGGAGCCAGTGATCGATAGGCCGGGGACGTTGAACGTGGGAGAGTGGGAGGGGTAGACTCATGTTGAAATGACTTATTTTCTCAAAAAACTCAAAAGTTCAAAAAATGACACATTTACACAAAACATGGATGTACTTTGTCAAAATAATGACTTTAGATCTCATAATACTGACTTATGACTTATAAGACATAATTTCAGAAGAAATCAGAGGTGCTAAGTCAATATTGTGCATAAGTTATTCCGAAGTACTGAGTCAGTAATCTTTATTTTGTGATTCTAAGCCAATATTTTGACATAGTGCCGCCATAAAAAAAGAAAAACAACAAAAATAAAAAAACAAAAAATACTGTGATTTTCTTCAAACTGGCAGGACTGGGCTTCCGTAGTTTTTAACATTTGTAAGGTATGGACATAAACAAAAGTGCTGCATAACTGGTCAGTAAGGAAAGTAACACTACACGCCACTGCTGACCACAATGTGACTCACAAACTTCAGACGTATTTAGTTGCACGTAAACCATTCACTGCTGGACACAAAGCTGGACACACAAGCAGACGTTGAGGGTGTCCTGCAACTGCTTCAATGTCACACAAGCTGTTTAGGACTTTACCTGATTAGGACTTTAATTAGTGTTCCTTTCTCTGAACTGATAAATTGGTATTTATGTTTACAGACAATTTCTCCATGTAATAATTCTGTAATCTCATCTTCACTAAACACCAATGTCTGTTACTGTCAGTCAGGAACTGTGGAGATTTACCCACTATTGAACATGGAGATGTTACGGAGGATCAAGATCGGAGGGTATTAACAGTTCAGTGTGCTGCATTTTACAAACTCGAAGGACTAGAAGAAGTAAGGTGTGTTAACAGGAAATGGTCAGATCTGCCTGTTTGTAAAGGTCAGTTTCACTTGCTGTTTAACACAAATGAAAGATGCTGAAAGTGTAAATTCACTAATTCAGCTAATCTGCAGATGATTTATGACTGTTCTCTGTTTCCTCAGCTCCATGTAGACTAGATCAGTCAAAGTTTTACTATCCTGAAAAAGAGTACATGCTGCATGGAGAGGAGGAAGGGTTTTACTGTAGTTTTCGACACAAAATACATGTCAAATGTGAGAACGGAAGAGCGTACTACAGAGGATGTGAGTGTCCTTCATGCCCATCCTGCACACAAACAGTCTGTATTCTTATCTATTCTTATCTGTATACAGTTACTGACTCTACTGTTACTCACACAATTCAGCTCACTTACTATGAACTTCATTACTGATTGGTTTCCACAAACCTCTGAGGCGGCCCGCACGCAGACATTCTGGGAAAGGAAAACATGGTGTCACTGTTCTTGGAAGAAAACCTCAAAAATGATAACTTCACAGGAGAAGGAAAAAACATAGTCTACTATTAACGTAAGTCTATGGAACCAGACTTTTTTTAACTCATTCTGAGTCATTTCTTTCAGTGCATTTATAATGACATTTACTTGTAAAGGGCAACAGGCATTTTCAAATTATGTCGAAAACTGAAAAACATCAAAAAAGGTTTTCTTCCAACAACAGCGATATATACATATATATGTTCAGGTGTTCAGCCACACCCATTGGTTACAGGTGTATAAAATTAAGCACACAGCCTTGCAGTCTCAGTAGACAAAGACTGGCAGAAGAATAGTAGCTCAGTGACTTTAAACATGGCTCTGTCATAGGATGTCACCTCTGCCACAAGTCAGTTTGTGAAATGTCTGTCCTGCTAGATCTGCCCCAGACAACCGTAAGTGCTATTATTGTGAAAGCACAGTGCTGATCCTCTGCTGAGTCACTCACTACAGAGTTACAAACTGTCTCTGGAGGAAACATCAGCAAAAGAACTGCACATTAGGAGCTTCATGAAATGGGTTTCTATGGCTGAGCAGCTGCACACGAGCCTAAGATCAAAAAGCACAACGTCAAGCGTCAGATGGATTGGAGTAAAGCGCCGCCACTGGACTCTGGAGCAGTGGAACCGTGTTCTGAGTGACGAATCAGCTTCTCCATCGGTCAGTCTGATGGACGAGTCTGGGTTTGGCGAATGCCAGGAGAACGTTACCTGCCTGACTGCACTGTGCCAGCTGTAGAGTTTGGTGGAGGAGGGATGATGATATGGGGCTGTTTTTCAGGGGTTGGTCTAGAACCCTCAGTTCCAGTGAAGGGAAATCTTAATGCTTCAGCACCAAGACATTCTGGACAATTGTAGCTTCCAACTTTGTGGGAACAGTTTGGGGAAGAACCTTTCCTGTTCCAGCATGACTGAGCCCCAGTGACCAAAGCAGCTCCATAAAGGCCTGACTGGGTGAGTTTGGTGTGGAAGAACTTGACTGACCTATGGATTTAGAATGGGAGTCATAAAAGCGTCCTTTCTGTGTGGTGGTTGTGTGGGTTTCCTCCGTGTACACAGTCCAAAGACATGCAGTCAGGTCAATTGGACACACTAAATTGCCCCTGAGTGTGAATGTGCATGTCTGTCTGCCCTGTGATGGACTGGCGACCTGTCCAGGGTGTATCCTGCCTTCTGCCCAATGACAGCTGGGATAGGCTCCAGCACCCCACCGCAACCCAGAAGGATAAGTGATTTAGATGATGTGTGTGTGTATATGTGTATATAATATATATATAGTCTGTGCAAAATGGTCTGTCTGTGCAGGAGCCGCTCTGAGGTTTCTCTGCTCTGCTTTTAAGAAAACTGAAAGTGTGCGCAACATTTTTTCATTTCTGAGGGATTTTATTTAGCTTGCATTTGTGTCATAAGAACTTGATGACTGTTTCTTTTGTTTTCAGGTGGTGATTACGATTGGGTGAGTATATAAACGCAATATCCCAGCATTTCAAATAGTTCTGCGTTGTAAGATTTGATAAGGCAGAAGTAGAAGTCACTGCTAATAATAGTGCTAAGTCATTGTAATAAAGTGTGTAATTAATGATTTTTCTTGTGTTTACAGTGAGATCTGTGTGAACGTCTTTCTGCTACAGCTTTTACTGAAACACACAAAACTGCAGAGCGACTGGAACGACCTGTAACTGCTTTAACTTTAAGCGTCACTGTAACGTTTCTCAGAACGTCCAATTAAACGCAGATCCTACATAGAGAACTGTGGAGAACTGTGGTTCTTTCTTCTCGTCAAAGTTTCCTGTGTGATCTTTAGTGGTTCTGATGTTTTACTCTTGGAGAGGATTTTCCCGCATGAGCATCATATTTATCTTAAAAACAAACATAAATGACACAATCACTGTGGGGGGTAACCTAATCACCTCACATTGATTAATACCACTCTGTTATTACACTGTACCTACATAACAACTACACAGGAACTTTCCTGTAGTGTTAAAGCTACACTTTAAAATAAGTGGACAGTACCTGTGTTGTTGTTATGTAGGTACTGTGTAATAATGGAGTGGTAATATAGACACTGCTTTGGGGGAAATGCAACACATTTAATTTATGTTATATACGTTACATGTTAAGATAGGTGGAAATCTGCTGTACTGTCACATTACAGAATGGTTTAAAGCTGAAAGTGGCTACTGTGTCACAGCACTAACAACATAAATGACAGCTACCTTTTAGGAAAGCTGGCAGATACAGTATGAGTAATGTCTTAATGTAAGTTATTAAATACTTCCTTTTACTGCTGGGAAAAAAGCTTCTTAAAAAAACTGTTGTTACAATGTGATTACAAACGTAATTACATTTCTGTTATTACCCTTCTGTAATTACATAAGAGAGAATTGGCTGTTACAACTATTAAGATACACTTGTGTAATTACATGAGGCAAAACTGAACTTGATACACGTGTACTTACATAAGGTGTACTTCTGTGATCCATCTGTAACACTGACTTAATCATTAGTAGTTACATTGTTATTGCATATGTTGTTTACATGTAAGTACATAGTTATTAGAGATACTTAATATAAAGTGGGATTAACTCATTTTAATATTAGACAAAGATAACAGAAGTAAACACAAAATGCTGTTTTTAAATGATGATTTCATTTATTGAAGGAAAAGTGCTGTTTAGCCCTACCTGACACTATGTGAAAAAGTAATTGCCCCCTTAGCTAGTAAATCAGCTAACCAAATTCAATTAACTGTTGGGTTCAATTTCACCAGCTACACCAAGGTATGACTGCCAGACCTGCTGAATCTAAACATCACTTAAACAGAACTGTCTGGCAATGTGAAGCAGGTAGAGGGTCTCAAATAGCAGCACATGATCCCATGTTATAAAGAGATTCAAATACAGGTGTGAAACAAAGTCACTGAAATCTATCGTCTGGAAAGGGTTACAAAGCAGCTGCTAAGACTCTGGGATTCCAGCAAATACAGTGAGAGCCATTATCCACAAAGGGAGAACACTTGGAACAGTGGTGAACCTTCCCAGGAGTGACTGGCCTACCACAATTTCAGAGAGCGCATTGACAACCCATCCAGGAGGTCCCAAAAGAACCTAAACAAACATATAAAGAACTGCAGGCCTCACTTGCCTCATTTAAGGTCAGTACACACGATTCCACATTAAGAAAGACACTGGGCAAAAATGGCATCCATGGGAGAGCTGCAGGGCACAAATCACTCCTGACCAAAAAGAACACAAAGCCTCGTCTCACATTTGCCAAAAACATCTAGATGAACCCCCGGACTATTGGAATAATATTCTGTGGACTGATGAGTTGGAACTTTTTGGAAGACGTGGGTCCCGTTACATCAGGTGTAAAACCAACACCACATTCCACCATAAGAACATCATACCAACAGTGAAACATGGTGGTGGTAGTGTGATGGTCTGGGGCTGCTTTGCTTCTGCAGGACCTGGACGACTTGTCATAATTGATGGAACCATGAATTCTGCTCTCTATCAGAAAATCCTGAAGGAGAATGTCCACCTGTCAGTTTGTGACCTAAAGCTCAAGCGCAGTTGGGTTATGCAGCAGGACAACGATCTGAAACACACAAGCAAGTCCAGCTCTGAATGGATCAAAAGAAACAAAAGTAAGGTTTTGGAGTGGCCGAGTCAAAGTCCTGACTTGAATCCCACTGAGATTCTGTGGCAAAACCTTAAAAGGGCAGTTCATGCTCAAAAACCCCCCAATGTACCCGAATGAAAACATTTCTGCAAAGAGTGGGCTGCAGTTCCTCCACAGCGATGTAAAAGACTCATCGCAAGCTATCGCAAGCATTTGATTGCAGATGTTACTCCCAAGGCTGGCACAGCCAATTATTTGGTTTAGGGAGGCAATTACTTTTTCACATGGGTGATTTAGGTTTTGAACAAATCTTTTTCTTCAATAAATGAAATGATCATTTAAAATCTGCATTTTGTGTTTACTTGTGTTGCCTTCATCTTAAATTAAAATTAGTTGGAGGATCTGAAACATTCTAATGTGACCAATCAGCAAAAATACAAGAAATTGGGTGAGGGGCAAATACTTTTTCATAGCACTGTACTTCCCCCCTTTTAGAAGCTGATTTAAGTCATCAAAATATTCTAATCCTGGAAATATTTCTGATATGGACAATTAGACTCTCAAACTATCCTACTTGTAGTTTTACACGAGGCTAAAGTCGGCTTCTTCTTCACCAGCTTCTTGTTAAAATTTTTTCGTTCCACCTTAAATGATGCAGCAGTTATCATTATAATGCCTGAAGGACAAGAATGCAACTGCTGCACCATTTAAGGTGGAACGAGAAAATTTGAACAAGACGCTGGCAGATATGAAGCTGACTTCAGCTTTGTAGTTTTAATGTTGGTAGTATTTTTGATAAGGTGATTTAAGCTATCAGAATATCCTACCTGGAGTTTAGGTAGGACTAGTTTAGGTTTACGGGAGGACATTTCGACAAGGCAGCACAATTCGTCACATATGCTGATAACTGATCTAATGTGTTAGGACTTCTTTTCAGCTCCTGAAGTCCTGACCAATAGGAGAGCTCAATTAGCTATATCTACCTAGATACCACAGAGAAGAACTACCCCTGATTATCTCATCTGTCACATCAACTACTGATAACATTTGGCAGGGTATTTTTGGCAGGGTAATGTCAATGTAATGTAGCAGGTTTAAATAAAATGTTACCAATTTTTACTTACTGTTTTATAAGCCTGTGTTACGTGTTCCGTCACATGGCCTATGAGTTCTAAGTTCAGATTAGAAAGTTTGTTTGTTTTTCCCAGATCTTGGCTTTGATCCTGGTAAAGGGGCTACCAGACACCCCAAAGGTTGAATCCTAAAAAATAGTTGCTGTGGTTGAAGGTGATCAAGGGGAATCAACTGATCTACAAAAAGATGATTGTTTTCACTGAAAAGCTCATCTTTGGCTATGAAGAATTTGTAAAACAACCCATAGAGAACACCGAGAAGGTACAGAGTACTGAAGTCCATATTTGCTTTGGAAGCAACGTGTTTATGTAATACAGTGATTCCACAGTCCAGTGTTACCCTCTAAAACACCATCTCATTTACTGCTGATCAAACCTCTGGGTGAAGCACAGCTGTATCAGACGCAGTGATGGTGAAGACAGAGACGGTTCTACAGTCAGCACTGCTGCTGTGTGTGTGCGGCGCACTGGCGCAGGACTTCATGTCGCCGACCGTGAACATTATGGAAGAACTGGGGAAACTGAAGAACATGGAAGAACGACTGAGAACCATGGAAGAAAGACAGAAAACCATGGAAGAAAGACAGAAAACCATGGAAGAAAAAATGCAGAACCAGAACACATTAGTGGAGCAACTGAAGAAGGAGAATGGAGGTAATTCTTAATGCTAAATCTTTGACAAATTGATCACAGGAAATAAATGTAATTTTTTTGATAATTTGTAATGCAGTTTTCAAGTTTGGCCTGAAGAGTCAGAGTTATTAACTAAGAAGTCTTTTAATGTTCATATTTAGAAAATTCAGGAAAAAAGATCATCAGAATGGAGGATGATTGGCGTCTGTGTTAGTTTAAGTGGAAGGATTTGGAAGTAAAGTTGGATGTCAGTGGACACATAATGACTAACCTATAAATCAATGTTTATTTTAACCAGCTCTGAAGACGACGGTGGAAACAATGCAGGCTAAACTGGAATCACTGCAGAGCATTAAAGCAGGTGAACCAGAACAAATAATGTCAATAATGTGTAATACAGTTACAATCAATAATACAATCAATAATTCAGTAATACTTTAGAAATTGTATGGTACTGCGCAAAAGTCAGAGACCCTTTATTTATTTATCTTTTCCAGTCAAAACAGTAATTAAAAGCATTTTGAGTGCTCAGTGTGTCACTCTTTACCTTTATTTTAGAAGTAATCAAACACATTCAGTGGTGTTGAGGTCTGGACTCTGGGGTGGTCAGTCCATCGTTCAGCTTCTTTGTTTGGTGTGTCCGTCTCCTTTTCTCAGTGAGGTTCTTCTTGACAGCTGCACATCCTTTCAGACCCACAGCGCTGAGTCGTCTTCTCATTTTCAATTTATTTTCACAAAGTGTCTATGACTAGCATTTTTTCAAGGTCAATTTTGATGCTTTCTCAGCTCCATTCATCATTGTTTTTACAGCTTACTACAAATGTTTTAAAATCTATAAAATATTAGCATGATAGCAGAATCATTTTATACATGCATCTGCAACAAAACTGGTTTTACAAAATTTGCTGAAAACTCTGAATTGTACAGTATTGAACTGTGATTTCAAACTTTAAAATGTTGAAAATGATTATTATGACATCATATTGTGGACTTTATACAAATTCAAATGCATATTTGAAATGCTAACTCAATACAATTGCATTTCCAGTTTGAGTGTGGATTTGCATTTCTATGTATAATGACTTGAAAACTTTAATATGGAAATACTTTTTGACATTTTCTGTTGTTTTAATGTGGAACTGATGCTTGACCGACTGTGAGAGCTTGTGGCTGCACAAACACCAATATTAGTGACGTCATGATGGTTTCAGGCAGAGGCTCACAGGACTGTTGGAGAAACACTGTCCTGCACATTTTAGTGCTTTCACTGCTTTAACACACCCATTACAAACAGTCAGAGCTGGACGGCCCATTTTTCCAAAATCATCTTATTGTTGAGGTCCTCCAGGAGCAGGGTTTGGAAACACTGCGCAAACCTACAGAGGCCCTGAACCTCATTAGTAAGAACATCCATTGTTGGCCCTCCTGCTCCTCCGACAGTGCTGTGAGCATCTACCTGAGGTTGACCACGATGTCACTCATGTTGGGGTGCAGACTCAAGCTCACTTAGTCAGAAATCAGTTCCACATGAAACAACTATGAATCTCTTTGGACAGAATTATTTGCGGCCTAGTTACCAGTATTAAAATGTCACTAGCAGCGGTTGCTAATGCTTCAGTAACGCCAAAGTTTAGACTCATCACTTCCTCTTAAAACATGCCAAGACCCTTCCAACGTCCTGCCCACTGTGTTTGATTGACAGGAAGCCTCATTGACAGTGAAAATCCAATTGCAAACAGGAAATGCAGTTGCAAATCGGAAATTGTTTTTTCCGTTTTCAATGTCCGAGTCACACCACTGAATCAAGACAAAATGAAACATCAAAAGCACTTTGGCTGCGTTCACATTACCAGGTTAAAGTGGCACAAATCCGATTTTTTTGCCCTGATGTGACTCAGATCTGATGTTTCCAGAGCTGTGTGGACACACAAATCTGATCTTTTCAAATCCGACCTGAGCCACTTTCATATGTGATCCTAGATTGGATACGTATTCATGTGCTTTTTTTCCCGCTGCGCTACACCATCATTCAGCGTTACCATGGCAGCAGCGCCGAACAGAAGTTAAAGCCTGTAAACGGTGGAAAAGCAGCTTATCTCACCTTTTTCTCCTTCGTCTCGCTCTAATAATGAAGCTGAGAGCTGATCAGAGTTAATGATCTTCTCAGCGAAGCTCGTTCTGCTCGTTAGTTTGTGCTGATGATGCACGTGATTCATTCAGGACGCCGGTTCGTCACATTAACGACTGTTTTGAATCACTTACCCAAACGAGTGTGAACCATCATGTCAGAGAGATCAGATCTGAGCAAAAAATCATATTTGAGCACCGAGGCTTGTAATGTGAACGTAGTCTTTGCTTTTCTGTATTAACTTTTTCCAGTCATTATGCAGAGAATTATGTCTTTATTAATGCAGACTCACATGGGAAATACAATTTTAAATACTAGACTTTTAAAAATTTTAAAAGTCTTTAAATCCAGCATGTTAACAGAGTAAGACATGCCTGTTATTGTTGGAATACTGACTTCATTTCTTAACATATTGACTCACTATGTCAAACTAACAAGATACTTTCTTAAAAATGGCTTATTTTCTCAAAATACTGACTCACTAATTCGGAATAATGATTTATACCACCTTACTGTCACTCTTACAGGAGACAAGGTTGGATGCAATTGCTAGGTGCTTAATTAGACACACTTAGAGTAAAAACAGTCCAGGTAAACAGCGGCAATCAGGACAATGCAGAAATCCAAAATTCAGAAAACCATAAACAGTCAATAAGGTTGAATCCAAAAGAGCATAAAGGGTAAAACAGACAATGCTGAGAAACCAGCTAGACTTTGCAAACAGACGGAGCAAACTGAGGATACTTAAAAGGGGATTGATGAGAATCAGGTGAGGAAATGTGTGAAGAGAGGGTGGAGCCAGTGATCGATAGGCCAGGGATGCTGAACGTGGGAGAGTGGGAGGGGTAGACTCATGTTGAAATGACTTATTTTCTCAAAAAACTGTTCAAAAAATGACACATTTACACAAAACATGGATGTACTTTGTCAAAATAATGACTTGCTATATCAAAATAATGACCTTAGATCTCATAATACTGACTTATGACTTCTAAGAGATAATTTTAGAAGAAATCAGAGGTGCTAAGTCAATATTGTGCATAAGTTATTCCGAAGTACTGAGTCAGTAATCTTTATTTAGTGATACTAAGCCAATATTTTGACATAGTGCCGCCATAAAAAAGAAAAACAACAAAAATAAAAAAACAAAAAATACTGTAATTTTCTTCAATCTGGCAGGACTGGGCTTCCATAGTTTTTCCACAGTGACCCACAAACTTCAGACATATTTAGTTGCATATAAAGCATTCACTGCTGGACACAAAGCTGGACACACAACCATGTGTTTATGATAAATTGGTATTTATGTTTACAGACAATTTCTCCACATAATAGTCCTGTAATCTCATCTTCACTAAACACCAATGTGTGTTATTTTCAGCTCTCTGTGGAGATTTACCCACTATTGAACATGGAGATGTTACGGAGGATCAAGATCGGAGGGTATTAAAAGTTCAGTGTGCTGCACTTTACAAACTCGAAGGACCAAAGGAAGTAAGGTGTGTTAACAGGAAATGGTCAGATCTGCCTGTTTGTAAAGGTCAGTTTCACTTGCTGCTTAACACAAATGAAAGAAGCTGAAAGTGTAAATTCACTAATTCAGCTAATCTGCAGATGATTTATGACTGTTCTCTGTTTCCTCAGCTCCATGTAGACTGGATCAGTCAAAGTTTCGTTTTCCTCAAGATAAATACATGCAGCATGGAGAACAGGACTGGTTTTTTTGTCTTTCCTCTCTGTCCTATGTAGATGTCAAATGTGATAACGGAAGAGCGCTCTACAGAGGATGTGAGTGTCCTTCATGTCTGTCCTGCACATAAACTCTCTGCTCTTATCTGAGTTACTGACTTTACAGTTACTCACACACATACAAGGCAAGCCTGTACACAGACATCTTGGAAAGGGGAAAAGAGCAACGTGCTTGTAAGTTAATAACTGCAATACAGTAAATGGTTTATATATATATATATATATATATATATATATATATATATATATATATATATATATATATATGTATACACATATCACATTTTAGTATTAGTAGGGAAATAGGTGTTTCAGCCACACCCATTGCTAACAGGTGTATAAAATTAAACTCATAGACAAACACTGACAGTAGAATAGTAGCTCAGTGACTTTAAACATGGCTCTGTCACAGGATGTCACCTCTGCCACAAGTCAGTTTGTGAAATGTCTGTCCTGCTAGATCTGCCCCGGACAACCGTAAGTGCTATTATTGTGAAAGCACAGTGCCGATCCTCTGCTGAGTCACTCACTACAGAGTAGTGGAGGAAACATCAGCAGAAGAACTGCACATTAGGAGCTTAACGAAATGGGTTTCTATGGCTGAGCAGCTGCACACAAGCCTAAGATCAAAATGCACAATGCCAAGCATCGGCTGGGATGGTGAGAGCCCTGACCTCAACCCCATCGAACACCTTTGAGATGAACTAGAATGATTGCGAGCCAGGCCCTCTCGTCCAACATCAGTGTCTGACCTCCCAAATGTTAAAAATAACCACTTTACCCTAAACAGGTCAGCGTGCGTTATTGAGAGAAAACTCAGGTAGGCGGTCAGTACCTCACTGAAACAGATACTGAAGAAGAGCCTTATAAAACACAGTTGTTACTCACGCCAACCAAGAGGGAACGCGAACAGTCTGGTCTGTGCAGAGCTGCTCTGAGGTTTCTCTGCTCTGCTTTTAAGAAAACCGAACATTTTTCATTTCTGAGGGATTTTATTTAGCTTGCGTTTGTGTTGTAATTGATGACTGTTTCTTTTGTTTTCAGGTGGTGATTATGATTGAGTAAGTATAAACATAATCTCAGCATTTCAAACGATTCCTCCTTGTAAGTTTTGATATGGCAGAAGGAGAAATAACTGTATCGGTGTAGTTATCCTGTACCTGTTATACACCGCTAATAATAGTGCTAAGTCATTGTAATAAAGTGTGTAATTAATGATTTTTCTTGTGTTTACAGTGAGATCTGTGTGAACGTCTTTCTGCTACAGCTTTTACTGAAACACACAAAACTGCAGAGCGACTGGAACGACCTGTAACTGCTTTAACTTTAAGCGTTACTGTAACGTTTCTCAGAACGTCCGATTAAAAGCAGATCCTGAATAAAGAACTGTAGAGAACTGTGGTTCTTTCTTTGCGTCAAAACATGTTTCCTGTGTGATCTTTAGTGGTTCTGATGTTTTACTCTTGCAGTGGAAGCATCATACTTATTATTATTATTATAATGTCTGATGGACAAGAATGTAACCATTTAAGGTGGAACAAGAAAATTTGAACAAGACGCTGGCAGACATGAAGCTGACTTCAGCTTTGTAGTTTTAATGCTGGTAGCACTTTGATAAGGTGATTTAAGCTATCAGAATATCCTACCTGGAGTTCAGGTAGGACTAGTTTAGGTTTACGGTAGGACATTTCGGTAGCGCAACTCGTCACATATGCTGATAACTGATCTAATGTGTAAGGACTTCTCTTCAGCCCCTGAAGTCCTGACCAATAGGAGAGCTCGCTTAGCTACATCTACGAAGACACCACAGAAAAGAACAATCCCTAATTATGTCATCTGTCATGTCAATTATCGGTAACAGCAATATGGCACTGCTATGTTACTGTTATTCTACTTGCCATTACATGGTTTATGGCAAGTTTATGTCAATGTAATGTAGCAGGATCAAATAAAATGTTACCAATTTTTACTTAATGTTTTATAAACCTGTGTTATGTTTTCAGCCACATGGCCTCTAAGTTCTAAATTCAGATTAGGAAGTTTGTTTGTTTTTCCCAGATCTTGGGAAAAAGATCTGGGAAAAACAATATAAAGGGGCTACCAGATGCCGCAACGTTTGAACCCTAAAAATAGAGCTGTGGTTGAAAGTGTTGAAGGAGAATCCACTGATCTACAAAAAGATGATCAGTTTTCACTGCAAAGCTCATCTTTGGCTATAAGAGCTTGTAAAACAGCCTGTAGAGAACAGAGAAGGTACAGAGTACCGAAGTCCATATTTGCTTTGGAAGCAACGTGTTTGTGTAATACCGGGGATTCCACAGTCCAGTGTTACCCTTTAAATCACCATCACATTTACTGGTGATCAAACCTCGGCTGAAGCACAGCTGTATCAGACGCAGTGATGGTGAAGACGGCGACGGTTCTACAGTCAGCACTGCTGCTGTGTGTGTGCGGCGCACTGGCGCAGGACTTCATGTCGCCGACCGTGAACATTATGGAAGAACTGGGGAAACTGAAGAACATGGAAGAACGACTGAGAACCATGGAAGAAACGGTGCAGAACCAGAGGGTCTTAGTGGAGCACCTGCAGAAGGAGAATGAAGGTAAATCTCAGCCCTAAATCTCTGACATATTCTGTACTGCAATTGAGATAAACTTGATATACATATTTTGATCATTTGTAATGCAGTTTTAAAGTTTGGCCTGAAGAGTCAGAGTCATATTCTGAAGAGTCAATGTCCAAATTCAGGAAAAACGATGATCAGTACGGGGGATGATTGACCTCTGTGTTAGTTTAAGTGAAAGGATTTAGTTGTAAAGTGATCCAATCAGTGCACATATAATAAGTAACATATGAATCAATGTTTATTTTAACCAGCTCTGAAGACGACGGTGGAAATGATGAAGGCTACCCTGGAATCACTACAGAGCATTAAATCAGGTGAACAAGAACAAAGTCATGCTAATCCTGTAATCTCATCTTCACAAACACTAAAACTGCCTGTTATTTTCAGCTTTCTGTGGAGATCATCCCACTGTTGAAAATGGAGATGTTATGGAGGTTCTACGTGGGATGGTATTAACAGTTCAGTGTGCTGCACTTTACAAACTTGAAGGACCAGAAGAAGTAAGGTGTGTTAAAGGGAAATGGTCAGATCTGCCTGCTTGTAAAGGTCAGTTTCACCTGTTACTTAACAGAAATGAAAGAAGGTAAAAGTGTAAATTCACTAATTCAGCTAATCTGCAGATGATTTATGACTGTTCTGTTTCCTCAGCTCCATGTAGACTGGATCAGTCAAAGTTTCATCATCCGGAAAGAGAGTACATGCAACATGGAGAAATAAGCAGGTTTATGTGTCCTTCCTCTTTTATCAGAGTGCACGTCAAATGTGATAACGGAAGAGCGCTCTACAGAGGATGTGAGTGTCCTTCATGTCCGTCCTGCACATAAATCTTTACATTTGCAGCATTTAGCAGACGCTCTTATCCAGAGTAACTTACTAAAGTCCTTTGTTGTCCACCCAGAGAAAGTGTCTTCGCTAGTTACAATTAGGTCAGAGAGAAAGCTGCTCCTGAGCTCAGATACTGCTAGAAACAAAAGCCCATGTTGATACCCAGAGAACAAGAACATAGCACAATACAATACATTTCAATAAATACTTAACCTAGTGCTCACTTAAGTGCTGTAAAGAGAGATGTGTCTTCAGTCTGCGTTTGAAGACCATGAGAGACTCTGCTGTTCGGACCGCCAATGGGAGTTCGTTCCACCACCTGGGCTCCAGGACAGAGTGTTGATGCTTGTCTTCCATGCCTCTTGAAGGACGGCGGGTCAAGCCGAGCTGTACTCGAAGCTCGAAGGGCTTGTGGTACAGTTCGAGTTCTGAATATTGCCATCAGGTCAGGAGGGGCTGGTCCGTTTTTGGCTTTGTAGGCATCGGGGTTTTAAATCTGATGCGTGCAGCTACAGGAAGCTAGTGAAGGGAGCGCAGCAGTGGGGTGACGTGAACTTAGGAAGATTGAAGGCGAGCCGTGCTGCTCCATTCTGGATGAGTAACAGAGGCTTGATGGCCGCATAAGAAGACCAGCCGAGAGTGAGTTGCAGAAGTCGAACCTTGAGATGACCAGAGACTGAACGAGCACCTGGGTGGCCTCTCGAGTGAGGAAGGGTCGAATCCTCCAGATGTTGTACAGGAGAAACCTGCATGACCAGGTCAGGTTCGCAATATGGGCTGAGAACGATGAGGACCTGTAGTTGCAGGGATGAATAGCAGCTCAGTCTTGCTAGGATTGAGCTTCAGGTGCGGAGCTGCCATCCATGAAGAGATGTCAGTCAGACATGGCGAAATGACTGGAAACCTGAGTATGAGAAGGTGGGAAGGAAAGCATTAGTTGGGTGTCTTCAGCATAGCAGTGATAAGAGAAGCCATGAGAGGATATTACATCACCAAGAGAACGAGTGTAAAGTGAAGAGAGAAGAGGACCCAGAACCGAGCCTTGTGGGACACCAAAGAGTGTAAAGTGAAAAGGGAAAAGGACCCAGAACCGAGCCTTGTGGGACACCAGCATGGAGAGGATGTGAACCCTCTCCATAAACACTCTATTCTTATCTGAATTACTGACTCTAATGTTACTCACATACATACAATCACTTACTATGAACCTTATTACTTGTTGGTTCTGCAAACCTCTGAGGCGGCCCGCACACACATCTTAGGAAGGGAAAAAAGAGCTTGAATTTTCAGCACACTGCAGCCACTTTAATCAAGAGAGACACTTAGATCATCTTTCAGAGGAAACTAAGACACTGAAAATTATTACCCAGTCAGGACTTGAACCCCACTCTACAGCATACAAGGCTATTAACGTTATTCAGTATGCTCTCTATTTGTAATGAGTTACAACTCTATTTAAGAGCTACAGAGCCTGGCATAAATACCTGTTTTCACAATAACTAAGACGTAATTTAGCAAATTATTATCATCATTATTATTGTTTGGCTCTTTGATAAAGAGATTCTAAGAGTTTTAGGGGGATTTCCAGCGCTGGGGTGATGTGTCCAAAACAGGTCAGAGTAACTTAGGGAAAGCTTAGGTAGGCAGTCAGTACTGCACCAGAAGGGGGCACCCAACAGTGATAAATCTTGTGACGACCCACCAGCTGTTTCTAAGCAATAGTGAGCCTTACCTCACCGAAAGAGATACTGAAGAACAGCCACGTAAAACAGTTTACGGTCCGTCTCTGCTGGAGCCGCTCTGAGGTTTCTCTGCTCTGGTTTTTGGAAAAAACAAAGTGTGCATAACATTTTTGCATTTCTGAGGGATTTTGTTTAGCTTGCATTTGTGTCCGAACAGCTTAATGACTGTTTCTTTTGTTTTCAGGTGGGAATCACGATTGGGTAAGTATATAAACATGATCTCAGCATTTCAAACAATTCCACATTGTAAGTTTTGATATGGCAGAGGGAGAAATAACTGTGCTGTTGTTAACTGCAGTCATCCTGTACCTGTTATACACCGCTAATAATAGTGCTAAATCATTGTAATAAAGTGTGTAATTAATGATTTTTCGTGTGTTTACAGTGAGATCTGTGTGAATGTCTTTCTGCTGCTTTTACTGAAACACACAAAACTGCAGAGCGACTGGAACGACCTGTAACTGCTTTAACTTTAAGCGTTACTGTAACGTTTCTCAGAACGTCTAATTAAAAGCAGATCCTACATAGAGAACTGTGGAGAACTGTGGTTCTTTCTCCTTGTCACCTTCTTTCAGACAGATCACATGAACCATGTCAAAATTCAGTGATAAATAAATTATATTCAGTTGAGGCTCAATATTGGGAACTGACCATAAACAAAAACATCCTACAACATGCACACACAAAATTCCCCAGCTGGCAGGAGGAAACTCTCCACACAGAACAGCAAGTACTACCAGCACCAAAACTACAGACGGGATAGTTTTGATAGCTTAAAAAACGTTTTTAAAATACATTTTTCTATTTTTTTTTTTGACTGAAACAGCAAAAACCGTATCTATGTTCTTATCTAAAACAGTGAATAGACTAACAAACCCCAGGGCTGAAGAGTAAAACTCCAAGAGTGATGTTCAATTCACAGAAGTGAGCATAAAAATAAACAAGTACAATTTTGTTATATTAGCTGCGAATGCAGCTGAACAGGGTTTCAGTGTTTATGTTCAGTGTTTTATTCATTAATTTCTGTTTAAGTGTAATAAATAAAATCAAAATCAAATAATGATTATTAATGTCAATTGCTGTTTCTGTTGAGATGTGTTTTATTTGTGCCATTTAGTCTTGTTGTGCAGACTTAGAGTGGTGTGCGAACCATTAGAGAACACAGTTTCCTGTAGGACACCTTTAGATCCCATTAGGAAACCATCACATGCATCTGAATCAGAACACTGTTAAACTATTAAGAGTCCTTTACACTGTGATATCAACCCATCAAACAGAATACCATTAGAGACTACTGGACACCAGCAGAACCTTTTAATGGTTTATGTTTTTTCATCAGGGAATTTAAACCAAGCAATAAAAGTTAAGGCTGAATTGTTAAATGCAAATGTTTTTTTTTTTTTGGTCATATCAGGTCAGATCAGTCGTGGATGGAACTCCACAAAACTCAAACTCTTCCTGCACAAAACGTTCCCTAATTCTAGGTCACTATAGCTAGCACATGACGCTAATGCTACCTAGGCAGCAAAGCTCCAGTCCTACTTAGTTAGTTAGTTGTGGTTCCATTCTAACTAACTAACTAACTAACTAACTAACTAACTAACTAACTACAGCCCTAATTAGAGTGTAAAAAATAGTGCACCACTATTATAAGTGCACTCAGTGTGAAGTATAGAAGCGTGTGGTTTGGGACGCAGCCCATCTTTATGATAATCTAAACTACATCATTTCTGGAGCTCAATTAAAGAGGGTCTTTCAGCCTGTGTCTGGGGGGATTCTTATTTTTTTACACCAAAGGTCTATTTCTGCATTTATACTTAAAGAAAAAACAATCATACATTATAAAAAAACAAATTATAATAACCTTTTTTGCATAAACTGTCAGTGTCAAGCAAAAAACATCTGCATTTTTTTTGTTACCCTTTGCGGATAAGACTGGACACCCCTGGCTTAGTGGAAAGAGAGAACAACCACTGAATGCTTTGAGTGGAGAAAGTGGAAAAGAAAACCTGGAGCTGAGTTCCTGAGCGCTCGGTGCTCGGAAATTTCTGCCAATCTCCCATAATCATCTTTTTCCCCCATATATGCTGGATAAATGTGGCCACAAACTTGTGAAAGGAATGCAATGAAGGAATGCACAATGTTCCACTTGAGACGACAAATGTACTTTTACCCTTTTATTGAAATTTATATGTAGAACTTATCTGAACCAGAGTGATATCATTTAAAAAAAAACAAAAAAAAACAAAACAAAACAAAAAACAAAACATGTAAATATTAACATACATATTGTTTCCTGGATGGAGCACGAAAAAAAAAGAAGGACGACAAATATATTGTAATGACTCATTCCAACCAGCCCCTCACCCACAGTAATCATCAGGTTTTCTACTGTTAAAATAATGCAAAGTCCACAGAAAACACAGTATTCTTCTTTTTTCAGAGATGTGCACCCCTCTCGCACACCGCTGCTGCTCTCCGAGGGGAATAATCGAGAAAAGAAAGAAAAACAGCACATCCAAAACATGAAGCAGGCTCTAAAATCTGTCTGAACGACGAGGAAAGTCTTAAAAACTACTGAGGGGGGAAAAGAGGGACACACGTCAACAGCCTGAGAAGATGACGGTAGCAGTAAAATTACACTGACCTTCATGTACGTACGTGTTCATCTACATTCTTTACATGATGACCGAACAGAACGACAGAATGCAGAAAATAAAACCTGGAAATGTGTTTTTAAAGGGGTTTGTGTCTGACTTCGCTGCTCCGGATGCGTGTGTGCCGTGTGGTACGTGTACATGCTTGTAAGGACAGTCTATGGGTCGTCTCCGTTGACGCTGTCTCCGTCGTCCTCTCCTTCCTCGTGCTCTCCCTCTTCCTCCTCTTCTCCCTCCTCTTCCTCATTCTCTCCTCCGTGACTCTTCACCTGAAGAGAAAAAAAAAGGGGATCAGAATCGTAACACAAACTACAGCAACAACCTGATTCAGTCGGACCGAAAGACACTACTATTTTAGGCCCAGTCCCATTTCTCATTTATACCCCTACTCCTTGTTTTCAAGTGTCTCCTTTGAACTGAGTTACAGGGTAGTGGTTGAAATGTTCCCTCTGAAATGGGACCCTCAAATAAAAAGAGCATCACTTCATTAACAGCTACCAGCGCTGCTCTGTAGGAGACCCTGCCAGTCTGCAGTGACAGCAGAGGAGGGTAAAGTTCAGCTCCTCACTGCTGGGCTTTAGTTACATTTAGGGCATCATGTGATCTTCAAAGAGGGGGGCAATTATTTATTATCGTCCACCACTAATTCTTCAGTGATATGAAGCTGAAGTCAGATATTGGCCAGATTCTTGTTCGAATTTTCCTGTTCCACCTTAAAAAAGGCAGCAGATCTGATGCCTGAGGTGCCAAATGTAACTGCTGCGCCATTTAAGGTGGAGCTTTTTAATTTAGCGAGCTAGCTATCGAGAAATCAGCGAACTGCTAGTGATTTGTTATGCTTGTTATAAAGAAAAGGACCACAATACATTGAAACGACATTAATCTACGATAATACGATGGTTATCATAATTTTTAACAGGGAATATTCTCACATTTGTGGGTTTTTGGTCTCTTGATGCCAGATGTTTTTTTTTCTTTTTTTCCCCCTCATAGCACTGTTTGGAGTGTGACTCTGAAAAACCTCCGTTTGTAGCTTTAACACTTCGCCCTACCGCTCTCTCTCAACAAGAACCGGGACACCCTACCCCTAGACATAAACGCACAAAACAGTGGGATAGGGCCAAGTGGTAGGGGCGACGGGTGAAAAGGGATTGGGCCTAAGATTCCCCGTATAAAGGATTTATGAATTATACAAGTGCGTTTATTAATGGTTATTAGGTCATTTATAACATTCATAAAAAGAGCAGAAGTGACATTTTACGTCTGATGAGGCTGACAGGCTTAATGCTGAAAGTAACACAAACAGCCAGCAAAATCTGAAGTTTAACAGTATAAATAAATGTAAGTTCAGTATTAGGACAAACAGGTCACTGCTGCCCTTATGTGTTATACTTGCTCATTACATGAATTTTAGGTGTTTAATAACTAATTTTAAGCCATTTATAAATCCTTTATTAAGGTAATTCTAATTTGGTACCATCCTGTTTTTCTTTTCTTCATCCCCCTTACATGGGTTTATGTACCAAAACGGTCCTAATTAGGGGTGAAAACCTCCCTCTTTAAAAGATATCCACATATACATGATATAAAACCAGCTTTATCGCGCTGTTCCCGATGAAATGGGGTACTTTCAGACCTTCTCTGTTTTCCATCCATCCATCCATCATCTAAACCGCTTATCCTTCTGGGTCGCGGTGGGGTGCTGGAGCCTATCCCAGCTGTCATTGGGCGGAAGGCAGGATACACCCTGGACAGGTCGCCAGTCCATCGCAGCCTTCTCTGCTTTGTTTTTTTCTTATTTATTTGATTGAACTGTTATATACCAACAATAGAACACTGGAGGTGGTTGGGATGAACATCATGGCCGTGACGATCTACTGTACTTGTTTCAGCTCATACCTGCCACCAAATCACAGCCGTGGTGTTCATGATGATCGACCTCCGGTGTTCCACTGTTTAATTCCATCACTGTATAAAAGACTGACGATGTTGAGTATCGTACGCTACGTCTCTGCTGGTCTGCTGTGCTCAGCAGTGTCCTCACCTCCTCCTCCTCCAGCAGGTCTCCTTCCTCCTCAGAGTCGTTTATCTCCTGCTCCTCCCTCTCTCGCTCCTTCTTGGCGCTGGAGTGCTGCTGGGAGGAAGCTTCACCGCCTTCTGCCTTCACCGCCTTCACTTCTGAGAGAGAGACAGAGAGAGACCAGTCAGGAATTCGTTCAGAATGAAGTACCTGCAATTTCCCCAAATTCTCATAGATGGATTTATATAGATTCATTCTAGATCTAAATCACAGATCTCACTGATGAGGTTTCTCAGCAGAGAAAACATTAAGCATTTCCATGTATCTTGTAACGCGTGAGTGCTGCAGAGAATGTGGCAACACAAGCAGCTCTTACTGCCTCTCGAGTGGAAATGTTTCAAACAAAAACATGATCAATTTGAAGAGCCAGTTAGTTTATATCATATACTACACTGCAGAGCACGACCGATACGTGGATTAGCTGAAAGTGCTGGCTCATATATCGACGGCCTGTGGTTTTATCAGTATAGGTGAAATCCTTTAGCGGTTCTACCACCGGGGAACCCAATATGTAGTTACTTATGTAGTGACTCATCAGTAACACATATTAATACAACAATACAACCAGAACACAAAACACAAATCACGGAAAAACAACATAACAGAAAACAAAAAAATGACCAATTTTTATGAAGAAAACTGCTCACAAATTAACAGAGAAACTAAAATCTGGGATGCTCCATCGCCAGTGATGCAATATCTACATTTTCTCAGACAGAGTGTCTGCTGTTTTAGCTTAAAAAGTTTAAACTGATAACAGTTATGTCAGTAAAGCACTCCTTAAACTACTGGACT